TTCGCAATAGTTAACAAGATATTAATTACTAAAAATTGCAAAATATTGAATAATTTTTTACTCAAATACTATCAACTTCACAGAAAAACTGCAACAGGCAAAAATTATTTATTTTCTTCTCATAAAGTTCTGAATTTTTTCAGAATTTTTTATCAACTTTTTAGTATTGCATTTTCTTGTTTTTTCAGAATTTTTTATCAACTTTTTAGTATTGCATTTTCTTGTTTTTAACAACATGAGAAAATACGGTATTAAAAACTTTTGTGTATCTACACAAAAGTGATTGGCAAAAAAGGTCGGGACACCCTGTATATATATAAACGATTTTATATAAATATAATAAAATCATCTCTCTATATAAGTATAAAAGAATGTTTTATATTGTATTTTTTTAATAAATAACCTGAATTATTCATGTAATATGGGTTACAGATTTCTCATCACAGGAATGTGACATGATAAAAAATTGTATAATAATTAACATATATGTTGTGATGCTGCTCACCATCTGAAAATAGTAGCAAAAAGTATAAATAATGTACATTATGTTAATTAAAACAAATAATTGATTATTTACTGCCGTGAGAAGCGATGCATCCATAGTGAAAGCTTTCGTCGAAAATATATTCTTGCAATGCAGAATTTGTAAAGAAAACAACTGCAACTGCAACGTCAAATCACAAAATAATGTAATAAAAAAACAATTTTGAAAAGTTTAATTTTACTTAAATAGATTTAACATTAAAAAATTAACATTTCCAGAAAAATTTAAATAAAATTGTGTTTCTATTACCTCATATTTAATTTGTTCGTCGCTGGTACTATTAAGTACGTCGTGAACTGTGGTGTTGATCTTTTGAGCTTGATTCTTTCCGGTCTCGCAAGCCCATACAAGTAGCGTTATTTTCATAATATAAAATAGCATGGACGTTAAAAGCATATCAAAAAACTGCCAATCTAAGCTAATGAATACTCCATCTTTCCAGTTCACTACATGGAAGTATAGTTCAATAGTGGTTTCAATAAGAGACATAACTACAATAGCAAAAATTTGCGGGCTAAATATTGTGTTCATCATTTGTAATATTTCGCTGACTATTAGGTGCTGTTTTTGAAGGGTCTTCAGTTCTATCAATAAAAATTGATTTCCCTGCGTGTGCCAAATCATCCTGGGGACAGGCTTTATTTCTTTTACCACAAGCTTTTGCATGTGTACTAGATTGTCATTGATTCCCTTGAAACAAGATTTTAATACACAAACACAATTTACGTACAACATATTCATTTGAAACATTATCAGTTCCAAGTACATTGTTAATATTGCTTCCAGAACGTTTAAATAGGTCAGTTCAAACGTTTTATAATAAAATATGGATAATTTCACTATCAGCAAAATATTACCCAAGATATCTTTGACATGAATCAATCTCGATAACTTCTGATATGACTTCGTAGGCAATTTTGAAGAGATTTCCAAAACGGTTTGTAGCAAGCGCATCCGTGGGCCGCTCAAGACATGCGTGGTGCTTACAACGAAACCGCTGATTAAGTAGAAAGCCAAATCCTCCAAATTTTCAATTAGGTTTTCAAAGTCTATTATTTTAGAAATGAAAATATGGTAAATCAATGCGAGATTTAAAACGCAGCAGATACAAATAATCACAGTCGACGTAATGTAATACGGTTTTGATGCCTCGAAGGTCACAATGTTGATTTTATACGGAAATATTCCGAGAATACGACAAAAACTGAAGCATGGATGCATTAAAGATAGGAAGTCCGTAGCGTAGAACAGGTGCCATTTTTTCCGCATCTTAGCGTATCCTTGTATTTTCGAACTGAACATGAGTAACAAAAATTTGTGAGAGAATAACAGTCTATTATGATAGGTAGTCCATTATTAATCAGTGTACTATATTAATAGAAGCGTAATTGCTTCTTTTCTAATCAATTGCATTTCTTCATAACAAATGTATAAACTAATATGTACTTTTATCCGACCTATCCTCGATGAGTTTAAGTTTGAAACTACGTATAAGTTTGCAACTGCTGCGTCAAATACAATGCTGAAGAAACTATCTGTTATTAATAAAGTAACCATAGCATTCTTCGATCGACATTTATCTCTTGGGATGAATTGCATAAAGAAATATGTGGCATATGACTCAATAAATTATGTAAGCGTGTATGAAATGGAAAGCATAAACTGTATAATACTAATTGCATGATTTCTATCACGAATAATCCCAAAAGATTCATTAATGACTATTTAATGTAGAATATAATATTTTCTTTCTTCGCGTTAAGGATGTACAAATATTTTTTTATTATATATATTTGATATTTAATATTCTTTTTTTTTTTTCTTTTATAAGTTTATTTTTTCATATAAACGCATTACTGTATAAAATTCTAGAATTATATTTATTAAGTTATTTTTAAAGTTATTTTCTTAAAATTAGAAGAAACTTATCAAAATTATTAGAAAATTATCAAATAAAATACCGAAGTCTGCAAAATCTTTTTCATACATCTAAAAATTAAAATTAATTTAAATAATTAATAAATTAATTTATTAATGAATTTATTAAATAAAAATAATAATTTGAAGGGCTACGAGCCAGTGGTACAACAAATAAATAAAGAGAATCTATTTTAATCATAAATATGAAATTAAACAACAAAACAAACGTTTCAACACCGATCGGGTCATTCTCAATGTTCACAAAAATTGAAATATTACAAACAGCAAATTATTATAACTTAATAAATATATATAGTAATATATATAATGTAATACGTATTGTTTGCTAAAATGCTTTCAATCGTGTAGTCATTCTTTTAATCCTTCACCATAATCCAACCAATCAATTTGATTGGCATTTTTCTTGTGTCCTTATAGAAGTTAACATGTCTTATAAAAATGTTGAGTTCAAAGTTAAAAATCCTATAGTAATCAAAAAAAGAAAATATTGGAAGCATTACAGCAGTGCAGAAGTAAATATAAAAAGATCTATAAAAAACATATAAAGTAACCGTAGCGATTAGAGTTTAACAATATAATGCAACAGTGAAGATAAAATAAAATATAAGTACGTGTACCTTCTTCAGAAAAGAGTTTACATCTCATTAAACGGAGAAAAGTAACAATCGTTCATGTACTTTATCTTAGATTGGAGCAAATTGCAAAGCGAAAAAAGATGTGAATTTATTAATATAGATATTTCTATTAGTGTCTTAGTATTCTTAGTATTAGTATTCTTAATTTTAAATTATTAACTGTACAACTTTATGTTATGTAAAAAAGTAAGTTCCAAATTTGACATTTTGTATTTTAGTCATGTAATGATTTGATAAAAAACGGAGAAAATGTGACTGTAATAACACATCGATATTGCGTATGCCTTTCGATAAAGTTCTATTCAATCTGTAATAAATGAAATTATAAGTACAAATATAAATATCTTTAATAAAATATTTGATCCCTCCTCAAAAAATTAACTTAAATAATTAAAATTATTCAATAAAGTTACATTCTAACATTTCATGAAATAGGATATGCTTAACATATTGTGAACATAATTTAAATTTAAATTTGTATTCACATTTATTGTGGTACATAAGAATTATACAAACTATAATCTATATATCTATTAGCCTATTGATATTTATTTAATATTTAATTGTTCTTAATTTTAATTGGAAAAAACAGAAATTGAAGAAATATATCTCTACACAGATATAAACATTCAAATAATATACATATATATGCTACTCATAATATACACATACAAAAGTAATCTGATATATAAAAAATAAATATTTGTAGCATTAAAATGGCAGATTATATATTATTCTACAAACGCGTTTTCATACCTATAACTATGTTTCAAATAGATTATGTAATATGTGAATTGCTATCTGTCTGTCGCAAGAACACAACGTATTTAATAATTGAATCAAGATTATTAAGCACACGGCAATTTGTTGTGTGAAAGCTATTACTTGTTATATAAAAATAAAACCAAAATATAAATAATTGATATTTTATTATTAGTTATTTTAATCATCAATCAGTGGTTGTTATAAAAAAATTCATAAATAATTACTTAAAGAACATTCTTTGCAATTATATTCATCACGTTCCAATTTACATTTAAACGAAAAGACAACAAAGCAAAGTGTCTATTAGACATAAATGATGTGTAAATAACAACTAAATAACAAAAATATACATAGTATCATTTAGATCTTAATGCTTAAATATTTCGGTGTGAATTTTACAAATATATCCAATTCTGCGAACTCCATGCCGAAACAATTTTTAGTTTTAAAACGCAATAAAAATTAGCCTCAAAAATAATAAATATAAAATAATAAATATAAAATAAATTAAATTTTACTTAAGTAAAATTACTACATTCTGTTATATTATACATATATCTATTTATAAGTTAAACTGATCACATAAATGTAAAACTTCCATAAAAATATAAGAAAATGTATAATTATAATTTAGTAACAAAGATAAAACACAACATTTTGAATATTTAAAAGTATTTCTATCTTATAATATGTTATAGGACCGTATATACCTATGATAACGCAAACTATAGAAATCAAAGCCTTAAACGGTTTAGCTGGATCTCGCACGGAATGCAAGAGATCCGTGTTCAATTCCCGGCCGAGGTAATATTTTTCGCAATAAGAATTAATTATTTACAGATTTTAATATGTTATTCAACATTACTAGGATCATTTCGAAGATGCGAATAAGCATCAAAAATTTGTTAAATTGCTAGTCAATTTAACTCGTGATATTACTGCGGTAGTTTAGTAGAGTTAGCGTTTCGAGACCGAAAAATCATTTCGGTTGCGCGTTTCTGGGGACTACGTACGTAGTATATAAATTCAATCAAGAATCATACAAGCATTTAAGATTCAGCTAGATCGCTTAAGGCTTTAATTTCTATAATTTTTATCTTATTTTATGTATCTTATTAATTGGATTCTGTAATATTGATCATTGTTCTTTTATCGCACGAATTCGAAATGTTTAAAAATTGTATCAAGATTAAGAAATACGTGGTAATATTTCCCACTAGCTAAAAGTAAAACAAAAAATGTACATAATATGTTCTAATATTATAACAAATAACTGATTACTTACTGCTGTAAGAAGTGTCGCATCTATAGTCAAACCTTTCACAGAAAATGTATTTTTACGGTGCAATACTTGTAAAGAAAACAGTTGCAACTGCAATGTTAAAGAGCAAAATAATTAAATATAAAGATAAAAATATGAAATTAAGAAATGTAACTATACTTCAGTAAATTTAATATTTAGAAAGATTGCATTAGCATACAACATAATTCCAAAAATATATATACATAAAGTTATAACGTTACCTCACTTTTGATTTTCTCATCATTGGTACTGTTAAGTAAACCGTGAATGGTAGTACCGATTTCTTGGACTTGATTCTTACCCGTCTCGCAGACCCACACAATTAGTATTATTTGAAAAATGTTATATGTCAGGGATGTCAGAAATACATCAAGAAAGTGCCAATCCATTCCAATAAATACTCTATTTTGCCAACCAAATGCAAAGAAGTACAAATCAAAGGTGAGAATTAAAAAGGACACGACTATAGCAGCAAGGAGTTGTAGACTGAAGATCATATTCAGCATTTGCACTGCGTCGCTAATCATTAGATGTTGCTTCTTCAAAACTCTCAGTTCTATCAGCAAAAATTGATTCCTCTGCGTGTGCCGTATCACATTGGAGGCACCTGGCTTCAAATCGTTTATTACAAACTTTTGTATGTGCAGCAGATTGTCATTGATTCTCTTAAAGCATGCTTTTAATACACAAACATAATTTATGTACAACGTAATTATTTGTAACACCAACAGGGCGAAGTAAATTGTAAATATCCCAAACAGAATAGCGAAAAAACTGTCTCGATTATTCAGTACTTTAGACATTTTTATGACTAATTGTACAATTCTGATAACATTATTCAATATATCCTTAACATGGATCAATCTGGACAGTTTTTGATACGACTTCGAGGGTAATTTCGAAGAGACCTCCATTATTGTCTGTAGCAAGCGCATTCGCGGACTACTCAAGAAATGCGTGATGATCACTATAAAACTGGTGAGAAAATGGTATATAACAGCGTGAATATTCCAAACTACATCTCCAAAATCTATTTTTGATTTAATAATACTGTAAATGAGTGCAAAGTTCATAACACCACACACGCAGATAATTACTGTTGACACAATATAGTACGGTTTCGAAATCTCGAAAGTCGAAGCATTAAGCTTATACGGAAATAGTCCGAGAATGCGACTCCAAGTGAAACTGGGATACATTAAAGATTGAAAGTCCATTGAATTACACAAGCACCATCTTCTCCGCATTTTGTTTTTCGCGATTGTCCTTGATCTTTCGAATCGAACACAATTAGAAAAATTTATAGCAGAACGTAACAATTTTAATCAAATATACAGCATTATTATAATTATATATACTTTAGCATTAAAATGGATGTGATTAGGGAAATTTCTTTTTCTAAGTGTAATTTTTAAGTCAATCTTTTAATAAGAAGTACATACACTAATACGGTTTTCGTATCTTATCTATACTCGATGAATTTAGATTTGAAACTGCGAGCAAATACTGTGTACAGCAAAGAAACAAAACCGTTTGTTGATCGTGAAGTACCCATGGCGTTCTGCGATCGACACTTATCACTCTTGGGATAGATTAATACAAATGATATGTAATTTTTATAACATATGACTCAACAAACGCAAAGGCTCATCGTATTAATGAGCTAACGCACAATCGAACGTGTGATATTGAAAATGCATGTATGAGAGAGAGACCAGGTATTTGTCTCAAAGGTTTCTTTTAAATGTTGGTTTGCATCACTGTTAGTAAGCCCTTCAATCATTATTTAATTTAATTTAATATAATTTAGTTTATTGCAAAGCTATATGAAAAGACTACATATTAACCGAATAATAGACATGACATGTGTACAATAGAATACAGTTAACAAAAATATAAATACAATAGACAAAAAGTAGCTTGCAAAATGGTTATTATGGTAATTATGTGTGCTCATAGAAAGATATTGCAATATCCACATATAAATAATAACTTTAAGATATCGTCCATTAGTACTGATCAATTTATAATAGGATACTAAATTTTTACAAAAATGATTATTACATATATTGTAGAGCCATCTATTGAAGTTATTGAATCGACTACGTATACGAACATAATACATTAACGAAAAATCTCTATAAAAATATAAAACATTGCATATTATATTTTATTAACATTGACAAAACAGATTATTTCATATATTTAAAGACTTCTTTATATTACTTTATGTATACTTCTAATTAGATTGTGTAACACTAATTGCTGCTTCTCTGTCGCAAGAATGCGACATATTTGAAAATTGTATCAAGATTAGTAAGTACGTGGTAATATTCCCCACTATCTAAAGTAAAACAAAAGTTTCTATAATATAGATACTTTTATATTTTATAACAAATAATTGATTACTTACTGCTGCAAGAAGCGTCGCATCTATAGTCAAACCTTTCATCGAAAATGTATTTTTACGGTGTAATAATTGTAAAGAAAACAGTTGCAACTGCAATGTTTGAAAGTTATGGTAGTTAAACGTTAGAAAAAATGATTAAATGCAAGAAAAAAACATGTAATTAAAAAACGCAACTATATATACTTCGATAGATTTAATGTATAAAAAGATTGTGTTAGTAATTAACATAATTACAAAAAATATACAATATATTAAAAATATATATAATATAATATAAAAATAGATAACGTCAAAATGTAACTACCTCGTATTTGATTTTCTCATTATTGGTACTATTAAGTAAATCGTGAACGGTAGTACCGATATTTCGGGCTTGATTCTTACCCGTCTCGCAGGCCCATACAATTAGTATTATTTGAAAAATGTTATATGTCACGGATGTTACAAGCACATCAAGAAAGTGCCAATCCAGTCCGATAAGTACTCCATTTTGCCAACGTACTGCGTAGAAATACAACTCAAAGGTGACAATTAAAAAGGACATGACTATAGCAGCAAGGAGTTGCAGATTGAAGATTATATTCAGCATTTGTACCGCGTTGCTAGTCATTAGATGTTTCTTTTTCAAAATTCTAAGTTCTATCAGCAAAAAATTATTTCTTTGCGTGTGACATATCACATTGGAGACACGTGACTTCATATCATTTATTACAATCTTTTGAATGTGAACCAGATTATCATTGATGTTCTTAAAACATGCTTTTAATACACAAACACAGTTTATATACAACATAATTATTTGTAATACCAACAAGCCAAAATATATTGTAATTATTCCATTCAAGATAGCGAAAAAATTGTCTTCTAACTCCAGTACTTTAGACAAAGTTATGATTAGTTGCACAACTCTGATGATATTACCCAATATATCCTTAATGTGTATCAATCTGGACAGTTTTTGATACGATTTCGAGGGTAATTTCGAAGAGACCTCCATTATTGTCTGTAGCAAGCGCAATCGCGGACCACTCAGGAAATGTGTGATGATCACTATAAAACTGGTGAAACCATAGTATATAACAGCGTGAATAATCCAAACAAGATTTCCATAATTTAGTTTTGATTTAATAACATATTCAACGATTGCAAGGTTCATAACACACAAAACGCAGATAACAATGGTTGACAGGATGTAGTACAGTTTTGAAACCTCGAAAGTCGAAATGTTGAGCTTGCACGGAAATATTCCCAGAATGCGACTACAGATGAAACAGGGGTACATTAAAGAATAAAAGTCCGTTGCGTAACACAACCGCCATCTTTTTCGCATTTTGATTTTCGCGATTATCCTTAACATTTCGAATCTAACACGATTATAAAAATTTATAAAAGATCATAAGATTTTATATCAGATATACAGTATTATTAATCATATGCACTTTAGCATTGAAATAGATGCGAATGCGAATGTTTTTTTTTTTTAGTATAAGTTTTAAGTTGGTCTCTTCCAGAGAAGAATAAATCGATATGGTTTTTGCGTTTGATCTATACTCGATAAATTTATGTTTGGAACTGCGAGCAAATACTGCGTGCAGCAAAAAAACAAAACTAAAGAAACCATTTGTTAGCCGTAAAGTAACCATGGCGTTTTCGATCGGCATTTACCACTCTTGGGATAGATTAATACAAATAATATGTAATTCTTACAACATATAACTCAATAAACTAGAAAACTTATTGCAATAATGGGCTAATCTACAACTGGACGTGCGTTACTGGAAATGTATGAATAGCAGGCCCTACTATTTGTCTCAAATAAGATCCTTTTTTTAAATGTGGATTAATTCATTGTTACAGTAAGCCCTTCATTCATCATTGTACGTGCTGATATGAAATATAGACACTGCAATTTTTATTAAAATGACTTACGTATTGTAGATCCACATATTTTTTTGCTTTTGAATCTATGATTTTGAACATATTATGATATCTTTAATAGATATCTTTTAAGCATCAAAATTTAATTGTAAAATTTAGTATTTAGCAGTTTTTAAGTCCTCTAAAATTTTCGGCGCGCAATCCAAATGACCATAAATATGGTATATGTATGTACGTAGATGTGTAGTATATATATAATTCACATTGAATTATTTAAGCATTGAAGATCAAGTTTCGATTATTATGGACGTTTAATTGCTATTTCTTATTAATTGTGTTCTCACATGTACGGTCTAATAAGATTCTTATTGTTTTTTAAACAATTACATGTACGAATGTAATACATTATTGACGAAAAATTTCTATAAATATATAAGACATTGCATATTATATTTTATTAACAAAACAATACGTTATATATTTAAAAACACTTTCACCTCACTTTATGTATCTCTGTAATTAGATTGGTTAACATTGACTGCTGTTTCTCTGTCGCAAGAATGCGACATGTTTAAAAATTGTATCGTGATTATTAGATACGTAGTAATTTTACCCATTATCTGAACATTAAACGATAAATATAAATAATAGATATTTCAATAATTAAAATAAATAAATGATAACTTACTGCTGTAAGAAGCGCCGTATCTATAGTAAAACCTTTTGCCAAAAATGTATTTTTATGATGTAATATTTGTAAAGAAAACAGCTGCAACTGTAACGTTAGGATGCAAAATAATTAAATATATGAATAAAGAAGTTAAATTAGAATTATAATTCATTACAATTATACTTCAATAAATTTAATAAAATCGTGTCGGTATAAAAAATAAATAATTTATAGATAAAACAATCTCTTTTCCTTATCTTTACCTCATTCTTTATCTGCTCATCTTTGATATTGTTAAGTAGATCGTGAACTGTAGTGCTGATCTCTTGCGCTTGGTTCTTGCCAGTCTCACAGGCCCACACAAGTAGCGCCATTTTTATAACGTAATATGGTATTGGTGAGTAAAACATGTGAAAAAAATGCATATCAAAACTAATAAATCCATCTTGCCAGCGCACTACATCAGAGTAAATATCAAAAGTGACATTAGTAAAGGCCATAACTATAATAGCAAGGAGTTGCAAACCGAAGATTGTGTTCAGCATTTGCACTGTGTCACTAACCCTCAAATGCCACTTTTTTAGGGCCTTAAGTTTTAATAATAAAATTTGATTTCTTTGTATATGACAAATCAATCCAGGAACACACAATTTTATATCATTTACCATTAATCTCTGCATATGGGCCAAATTGTCATTAATACTTTTGAAACAGGCTTTTAATACACAAACACAATTTACATACAACATAAGTATCTCAAATATTAGTATGTAGAAATACATTGATAACACTTTAATCAAGATGGTTAAACTGTTCAGTTTAAATACTTTTGTGTTATAAAGATAAATACATTCTTGCAAGAAAAAAAGGATTGTACCGAAAATGTCTTTGGCGTGAATTAATCTGGACGTTTTCTGGTATGACTCCGAGGAAAGTTCCTGAGAGATTTCTGACACAGTCTGTAGCAAGCGCATTTGCGAACCGTTTAAGACTTGCGTCATGATTATTATAAAAATGTTTAACACTAAATAATTGACATTTGAAATTCCTGTGATTAATTCTTCAAAATTTTGTATTGAAATAGAGATCACAGTATGGTAAATAAGTATTAACTTAACAACACAGCAAACACAAATAACCATGGTTGACACGATGTAGTATAGTTTTGAAAATTCGAAAGTCGAAGCGTTCATCTTGTACGGAAACATTCCACAAATGCGGCAAATAGTGAAGCAGGGATACATTAGGGATTGAAAATCTATAGCGTGAAACAACCATTGCCTTTTCCACATTTTACTTTTGATGTATCGTTGGATATTCGAATACGATTAGCAAAAATGTATAAAGAATAACAGTCTATATCATGAATCACAGCTTATATTATATACACTAAAACAATATAGACATATTTACTAAAATTTCTTTCTTAAATGTAATCTTTAAGTTTGTATGTTCATAAGTGGTATGTAAGCTGATTTAGTCTTTACGTACTATCTCGACGAATTTGAGTTTAAAACTGATAATAAACGCTGCGTCATGTAGAACAATATAAAAGCTAAAGGAATTATTTGTTAGTCGTGAAGTAACCATGGCATTCTTCGATATCAGCAATTAGATCTCCGAAGATGTATTGCAGCAAACGCTGCGAAAGTGTTATAACATACTTAAATGATATGTGCTTGATGTATTTGTATGAGATACAAAGTCTAGACTTGCCATATCTACTTGAATCAATAACTTAAAGACATCTACTAAAAATAATTGGTTAATGATGGGCAATAAAGTTTTATTAAAATACATTGCTTATATTAAGAGAAAGAGTGGCATCTTTATTTCAGTGTAACAAATGTTGTATTGAAAAACAGAATTATAACTACATATTATATACAAGAGTCATATTTAGCTTTGCGAAAAGCTAATATTTCAAGAATGATTTAAATAATTTTTCATTAAATATTCTATGGAAACAAATTTTAAAGTTTCATAAAAAATTATCAAATTAAGCCATCTGTCGTCGTGACCTGAAATCACAATTTTCTCGAAATAAAAACGCGAAGCTGTAATCTACTGCTTTATAAGGATTATTTTTGATGTCAGAATAATCACACAAAAGCTAATTAAAACCCGTGAAATACATATGTAAGTCTATCTGTGTAAGTAACAAAAATAACAGCTCTACACAGTAAGAGTTGGATCTTAACAATTAATGTTTAAATATTTTGGTATGAATTTTATATACATATCTAATTCTGCAAACTATGTACTGAAATAATGTTTAATCTTAAATACAACAAAATTTAGTCTCAAAAATAATAAAATTTTATTTACGTAAAACTATTACGAACTATTACATACTGTATATCCACTCATAAGTTGAATCGATAACATAAACGAAGAATTTTTTTAAATATAAAACATTAACAATAATTATAACTTATCAACAAAGATAAAGCACAGTAATTCGAAAATTTAAGAATATTTTTGTCTTCCTTTATGTATCCTTGTAACAAGATTGTGTAATATTGACAGTTGTTTATCTATCACAAGAATGCGACATGTATAAAAATTGTATTAAGATTAGTAAGTACGTGGTAATATTCCCCACTATCTACAAGCAAAAAATTTGTATATAGTGCATATTTTAATATTTGTAACAAATAATTGATAACTTACTGCTGCAAGAAGCTTCGCATCTATAGTGAAAACTTTCACTGAAAATGTATTTTTACGGTGTAATATTTGTAAAGAAAACAGTTGCAACTGCAATGTTTAGAAAGCAATCAAATTAAGCACAAGGAAGAAAACATGAATTAAAAAAATGTAACAATACTTCAGTAGATTTATAATGAATAAAAAGATTGCGTTAGCGTACAATATAATTTCATAAATATATATAGATAAAGTTATATCGTTACCTCACATTTGATTTCCTTATCATTGGTACAGTTAAGTAAATCGTGAATGGTAGTACCGATTTTTTGGGCTTCATTCTTACCCGTCTCGCAGGCCCACGCAATTAGTGTTATTTTAAAAATGTTATATATCAGGGATGTTACAAGCACATCAAGAAATTGCGAATCCAATCCCAAAAATACTCCATTTTGCCAACGCACTGCATAGAAGTACAAATCAAAGGTGACCATTACGGAAGACGTGATTATGCTAGCAAGAAGTTGCAGGCCGAAGATCATATTGAGCATTTGCACTGCGTCGCTAATCGTTAGATGTTGCTTCTTCAAAGTTCCGAGTTCTTCCAGCAAAAATTGATTCCTCTGTGTATGCAATATCACATTGCAGGCATGTGGCTTCATATCTTTCATTACAAATTTTTGTATGTACACCAGATTGTCATTAATTCTCTTAAAGCATGCTTTTAATACACAAACATAGTTTATGTACAACATAATTATTTGTAATGTTAACAGGGCGAAGTATGTTGCAGGTACCGCAATCAAAATAGCAATAAAATTGTTTTCAAACTCCAGTACTTTAAAGAAATGAATGCTGTATTGCACAACTCTCATGATATTACCCAATATATCCTTAACGTGAATCAATCTGGACAGTTTTTGGTACGATTTCGGGGGTAATATCGAAGAGATCTTCAATATTGTCTGTAGTAAGCGCATTCTTGGACCACACAGGAAATGCGTGATTATCACGGTAAAACTGGTGAGAATATAGTACATAACCGAGTGAATATTCCAAATTATATCTCCAAAATTTAGTTTTGATTTTGTAACATTGAAAAGGAATGCAAAGTTCATAATACAACATACGCAGATAACGATGGTTGACAGAATGTAGTACAATTTCGAAACCTCGAAAGTTAAAGCGTTGAACTTGTATGGAAATAGTCCGAGAATGCGACTCCAGATAAAACTGGGATACATTAGAGATTGAAAGTCCGTTGCGTTACAAAAGCACCATCTTTTCCGCATTTTGAGTTTCGCGATTATCCTTGGCCTTTCAAATCGTACACGATTAGAAAAGTTTATAGGAGAACGTAACAATTTGAATCAGATATTCAGCGTTATTATTTACATGCACTTTAGCATTAAAATAGATGCGATTGCGAAAGTTTTTTTTTCTATTCTTTTAGTTGGTCTCTTAATAAGAAGTATATGATCTGATATAGTTTTTACGTCTTATCTATACTCGATAAATTTCAGTTTGGAACTGCGAGACAATGCGCACGGCAAAGAAACAGAACTAAAAAACTTGTTAGTCATAAAGTAACCATGGCGTCCTTCGATCGGTACTTATCACTCTTGGAATAGATTAGTACAAATGATATGTAATTTTTATAATATACACTATTCAATAAACTGATAGGTTTTATTGCAATAATGATCCTATACACAACCGAACGAGTGATGCCGAAAATGTAAGAATGGCCCTAGTATTTGTTTCAAAATCCTTTTTTCAAATGTGGGTTATAACTCACTGTTACAATTTGTCCTTCAATCATTATATGCGCTAGTAGACACTGTAATATCTACGTAAATCATAATTTTTAGGTATCATACATTAGGTAAATCTATAATAGGATCCTAGGGTATTAGTCAATTTATAATAGGATTCTAAATTTTTATTAAAATGACTGTTATTACGTGCAATTGAAATTTTTGAATCGATTACAAATACAAACATTATTGACGAAAAACTTCTATAAAAATATAAGACAATTGCATATTATCATATTTTATTAATAATGACAAAACAGAGTTTTTTATTTATTTAAATATATTTTTATCTTACTTTATATATACTTCTAATTACATTTTGTAACACTGACTGCTGTCTTCCTGTCGCAAAAATACATCATGTTTAAAAATTGTATTACAATTAGTAAGTACGTGGTAATATTCTCCACTATCTAAAAGTAAAACAAAAATTTATATATTTCAATATTTATAACAAATAGTTTCTTATTTACTGCTGCAAGGAGAATCGCATCTATTGTCAAACCTTTCAACGAAAATGTATTTTTGCGATGTAATATTTGTAAAGAAAACAGTTGCAACTGCAATGTTAAAAGTTATAACAGTTAAATGTTAGAAAAAAGTAATTAAATACAAGAAAAAAAATATGAAATTGAAAAACGCAGTTATATACTACAGTAAATTTGATGTTTAAAGAGATTGTGTTAGCATACAACACGTAATTTCGAAAAAATATGTAGATAACGTTGTAAAGTTACTATCTAGTATTTAACTTGCTCATCATTGGTACTATTAAATAAATCGTGAATGGTAGTACCGATATTTTTGGGCTTGATTCTTACCCGTCTCGCAAACCCATACAATTAGTATTACTTTAAAAACGTTATATATGAGGGATGTTAGAATCACATCAAGAAAGTGTCAATCCATTCTAATAAATTCTCAATTTTGCCAACTGCATAGAGATACAACTCAAAAATGACAATAAAAAAGGACATGACTGTAGTAGCAAGGAATGATAGAAAAAAGATCATATTCGGCACTTTCACAGCGCCGCTAATCGTTAGATGCTGCTTCTTCAAAATTCCGAGTTCTTTCAGCAATTGATATTTCTGTGTACGCATTATCATAATGGAGACACGTGACTTCATATCTTTCATTATAAACTTTCGTATGTACACCAGATTGTCATTAATCCTCTTAAAGCATGCTTTTAATACACAAACATTGTTTACGTACAACATAATTATTTGTAACACCAACAGGGCGAAGTACATTGTAGATACCCCAATCAGAATATTGAAAAAATTGTCTTGATCTTTTATTACTTTAGAGAATTTTATGACTAATTGCACAATTCTAATGATATTACTCAATATATCCTTAACGTGGATCAATCTGGACAGTTTTTGGTACGATTTCGAGGGTAATTTCGAAGAGACCTCCATTATTGACTGCAGCAAGCGTATTCGCGGATCACTCAGGTAATGCGTAATGATCACTACAAAACCGATAAGAATGTAGTAGATATTTCAGCGTGAATGTTCCAAACTACATCTCCAAAATCTATTTTTGATTTAATAATACTGTAAATGAGTTCAAAGTTCATAAAACCACACACGCAGATAACTATTGTTGACAGAATATAGTACGGTTTCGAAACATCGAAAGTCGAAGTATTGAGCTTGTTTGAAAATAGTATTAGAATGCAACTCCAAGGGAAACTGGGATACATTTAAAGAAAGTCCATTGCATTACACAAGCATCATCTATTCCACATTTTGTTTTTCGCGATTGTCCTTGACTATTTGAATCGAACACAATTAGAAAAATTTATAGAATAACGTAACCATTTGAATGAGATACACAGCATTATTAATCATATATACTTAAGCATTAAAATGGATATGATTATGGAAATTGCTTTTTCTAATTTTTAAGTCGGTCTTTTGATAAGAAATACATGTACTAAAATTTTTACGTATGTAAAAATGTACTTACAATTTTTGCATTTTATCTATACTCGATGAATTTAAATTTGAAACTGTATAGCAAATACTGTATACACCAAAGAAATAAAACTAAAAAAACCGTTTGATAATCGTGAAATACCTATGGCTTCTTCGATCGACATTTATCACTCTTGGGATAGATTAATACAAATAATATGTAATTTTTATAACATATGACTCAATAAGCTCAAAGGCTCATTGCATTAATGGGCTGGCTAATCCACAACCGAACGTGTAATATTTAAAATGCACGTATGACCTGCTATTTCTTTCCAAGGTTTCTTTTAAATGTTGGTTTGCATCACTGTTAGTAAGTTCTTCAATCATTATGTGTGCTCATAGAAAGACATTGCAATATCCACATAAATAATAACTTTAAAATATCGTCCACATTAGTACTGATCAATTTATAATAGGATACTAAATTTTTGCTAAAATGATTATTACGTACTAATAGAGCCATCTATTCAAGTTTTTGAATCGACTACATATACGAACATAACACATTAACGAAAAATCTTTATAAAAATATAAATATTGCATATCATATTTTATTTATGACAAAACAGTGTATTTCATATATTTAAACGCATTTTTATATCACTTCTTTATATATACTTCTAATTAGATTGTGTAACACTAATTGCTGCTTCACTGTTGCAAGAATGCGACATGTTTCTAAATTGTATCAAGATTAGTAAGTACGTGGTAATATTCCCCACTATCTAAAATAAAACAAAAATTTCTATAATGGATATTTTAATATTTATAACAAATAATTCATTTCTTACTGCTACAAGAAGCGTCGCATCTATAGTCAAACCCTTCATCGAAAATGTATTTTTACGATGTAATAATTGTAAAGAAAACAGTTGCAACTGCAATGTTAAAAAATTATGATAGTTAAACATTAGAAAAACATAATTAAATGCAAGAAAAAAACATGAAATAGGAAAACGCAACTATATACTTCAATAGATTCGATATATAAAAAGATTGTGTTAGTAATTAAAATAATAACAAAAAAAATGTAAAATATATTAAAAATATATAATATAATATAATATAATATAAAAATAGATAACATCATAATATAACTACCTCGTATTTGATTTTCTCATCATTGGTACTATTAAGTAAATCGTGAACGATAGTACCGATATTTTGAGCTTGATTCTTATTCGTCTCGCAGGCCCACACAATTAGTATTATTTGAAAACTGTTATATGCCAGGGATAGTAGAAGTACATCAAGAAAGTGCCAATCCAGTCCGAAAAGTACTCCATTTTGCCAACGTACTGCGTAGAAATACAACTCAAAGGTGATAATTAAAAAGGATATAACTATAGCAACAATAAGTTGTAGACTGAAGATCATATTCAGCATTTGCACTGCATCGCTAATCATAAGATGCTGCTTCTTCAAAATTCTGAGTTCTATCAGTAAAAGTTGATTTCTCTGCGTGTACCGTATCACATTGGAGACACATAGTTTCATATCGTCTACTACAAATCTTTGCATGTGCACCAGATCGTCATTGATTCTCTTAAAACATGCTTTTAATACACAAACACAGTTTACATATAACATAACTATTTGGAATGCCTGCAGGGCGAAGTATGCTGTAGGTAACCCAATCAGAATAGCGAAAAGATTGTTTTCAAATTCCAGTTCTTTAATTAAATGATTACCGAATTGTACAACTCTGATGATAGTACCCAATATATCCTTAACATGAATCAATTTGGACAGGTTTTGGTACGATTTCGAGGGTAATTTCGAAGAGATCTTCAATATTGTCTGTAGCAAACGCATTCTTGGACCACTCAGTAAATGCGTGATTATCACGGTAAAACTGGTGAGAATATAGTACATAACTGCGTGAATATTCCAAACTACATCTCCAAAATCAAGTTTTGATTTAATAACACTGTAAATGATTGCAAAGTTCATAATACAACATACGCAGATAACGACGGTTGACAGGATATAGTACAGTTTCGAAACCTCGAAAGTTAAAGCGTTGAACTTGTACGGAAATAGTCCAAGAATGCGACTACAGATAAAATTGGGATACATTAAAGATTTAAAGTCCGTTGCGTTACACAAGCACCATCTTTTCCGCATTTCGAATTTCGTGATTATCCTTGGCCTTTCAAATCGAATACGATTAGAAAAAAATATAGGGAAACGTAACAAGTTGAATCATATGTACAGCATTATTATTTATATGCACTTTAGCATTAAAATAGATGCGATCGCGAAAGTTTTTTTTTTCTGTGTTCTTTTAAGTCAGTCTCTTAATAAGAAGTATATGATCTGATGTAGTTTTTGCGTCTTATCTATACTCTATAAATTTCAGTTTGGAACTGCGAGAAAATGCGCACGGCAAAGAAATAGAAATAAAAAAACTTGTTAGTCGTAAAGTAACCATGGCGTTCTTCGATTGGCACTTATCACTCTTGGAATAGATTAGTGCATATGGTATGCAATTTTTATAATATACTATTCATTAAATTGATAGGTTTTATTGCAATAATAAGTCAACCCACAACCGAACGAGCGATGCCGAAAATGTATGAATGGCCCTAGTATTTGTTTCAAAGCCCTTTTTTCAAATGTGGATTATAGCTCACTGTTACAATTTGTCCTTCAATCATTATATGTTCTCATAGGCATTGTAATATCTACGTAAATCATAACTTTTAGGTATCATTCATTAAGTAAATTTATAATAGGATCCTAGGGCATTGGTCAATTTATAATAGGATCCTAAATTTTTATTAAAATGACTGTTACGTGCAATTGAAATTTTTGAATCGATTATAAATACGAACATTATTGACGAAAAACCTCTATAAAAATATAAGACTATTACATATCATATTTTATTAATAATAACGTAACATATTTTTTTATATATTTAAATATATTTTTATCTTACGTTATATATATTTCTAATTAGATTATGTAATGTTAACTGCTGTCTTTCTGTCGCAAGAATACGTCATGTTTAAAAATTGTATTAAGATTAGTAAGTACGTGGTAATATTCCCCACTATCTAAAAGTAAAACAAAAATTTATATATTTCAATATTTATAACAAATAGTTTTTTACTTACTGCTGCAAGGAGAGTCGCATCTATTGTCAATCCTTTCAACGAAAATGTATTTTTGCGATGTAATATTTGTAAAGAAAACAGTTGCAACTGCAATGTTAAAAAGGTTATGACAGTTAAAAAAAAATAATTAAATACAAGAAAGAAAATATAAAATTGAAAACGCAGTTATATATACTACAGTAAATTTGATATTTAAAGAGATTGTGTTAGCATACAACGTAATTTCTAAAAAATATGTGGATAACGTTTTATTAAGTTACTACCTCGTATTTAATTTGCTCATCATTGGTACTATTAAGTAAATCGTGAATGGTAGTACCGATTTTTTGGGCTTGATCTTTACCCGTCTCGCAGGCCCATACAATTAGTATTATTTTAAAAATATTGTATATGAGGGATGTTAGAAGCACATCAAGAAAGTGCCAATCCATTCCAATAAATATTCCATCTTGCCAACGCACTGCATATAGATACAACTCAAAAGTGACAATAAAAAAGGACATGACTATAGTAGCAAGGAGTGGTAGACAAAAGATCATATTCAGCATTTTCACTGCGTCGCTAATCGTTAAATGTTGCTTCTTCAAAGTTCCGAGTTCTTGCAGCAAAAATTGATTTCTCTGTGTATGCATTATCACATTGGAGGCATGTGGCTTTATATCTTTCATCACAAACTTTTGTATGTGTACCAAATTGTCGTTAATTCTCTTAAAGCATGCTTTTAATACACAAACATAGTTTATGTACAACATAATTATTTGTAACACCAACAGGGCGAAGTACATTGTAGATACCCGAATCAGAATAGTGAAAAAATTGTCTTGATCTTTTATTACTTTAGGCAATTTTATGACTAATTGCACAATTCTGATGATATTACTCAATATATCCTTAACGTGGATCAATCTGGACAGTTTTTGGTACGTCTTCGAGGGTAATTTCGAAGAGACCTCCATTATTGTCTGTAACAAGCGTATTCGCGGACCACTCAGGAAATGCGTGATGATCACTATAAAACTGGTAAGAATGTAGTATATAACAGCGTGAATGTTCCAACTACCTTTCCAAAATTTATTTTCGATTTAATAATACTGTAAATGAATGCAAAGTTTATAATACAACAGACGCAGATAACGACGGTTGACAGAATATAATACGATTTTGAAATCTTGAAGGTCGAAGCATTGAGCTTGTACGGAAATAGTCCGAGAATGCGACTCCAAGTGAAACAAGGATACATTAAGGATTGAAAGTCCATGGCGTGAAACAACCGTTGCTTTTTCCACATTTTGCTCTTGATGTGTCGTCGGATTTTTGAATATGATTAGCAAAAATTTAAAGAGATTAACAGTCCATATCATGAACCACAGCTTATATTATATACACTAAAACAATGTAAACATGATTACTAAAGTTTCTTTTCTAAATGTAATCTTCAAGTTTGTATGTTCGTAACAAGTATGTAAACTGATTTAGTCTGTACGTACTCTCTCGACGAATTTAAGTTTAAAACTGCGATCAAACGCTGCGTGGTGTAGAAAGACATAGTTAAAAGAATTATTTGTTAGTCGTGAAGTAACCATGGCGTTCTTCGATATCAGCAGTTATATCTCCGAAGATGGATTGCAGCAAACGCTGCGTAAGTGGTATGATATACAAAGTACAGACTTGCCATATCCACTTGAATCAATGACTCAAAGACATCCATTAATAATAGATATTAATAATGAATATTAAATTTCTATTAAAATACATTATTAAAAGAAAGAATGGCATTTTTATTTCAGTATATGTGTAACAAATGTTGTATTGAAAAATAAAATTATAATTACAAGAGCCGTATTTAGCTTTGCGAAAAATCTAATAATTGAAGAATGATGTGAATAATTTTTTTATTGGATACTATTGAATACTATTTATTTTTATTTTTACTTTTGTAAAGACACGTGTAAGCATTAACAATTGGCTTAGCTCCTTAGCCTTGTTATTAATTTATTTGAATTTATTCGGTGGAGCCTATATCGAAATTCACACACACACACACACACACACACACACACACACACAAGCTTGAAATTTATTTATAAATTCAACAATCCGTCGTCGTGACCTAAAATCACGATTTTTTCGAAAAATACGCGAAGGTATAATTTACTGCTTTACAGGGATTATTTTTTGAGATCCCAAAATAATCTCGCAAAAGTTGATGAAAATCAGTGAAATTCATATGTGAGTCTCTCCTTGTAAGTAACAAAAGTCTACACGGTGTGAGTCGCATCATATCACCAAAACACGGAAAATTTGTTAAATCTGAGTAAATATTGCTTTGAATAATTCCAAGTAAACATTTATTTAGTAAAAGAAAATGATGACTTAAATCAAATTAATGATTCTCGTATCAAATATATACGTTCATATTTAGTAAATTTTTATTTGAAATTGTTTAAAAAAATATTTACTTAAGCTTAGTTTTTTATTTCTGTAAATACATATTATCTAATTTTGCATGCAAACGGCGTGCCGAAATTATTTTGATCTTAAACGTAATTAAATTTAGTCTAAAAAAGAATAAAATTTTTTTATGTAAATCTATTACATACTGTTACATACTATATATCCATTTATAAGTTGAATTAGTTACATAAATGAAAAATTTCTATAAAAACATAAAACATTCTATAATTATACCTTATTATTAAAGGTAAAATAGTATTTTATATATTTAAAAATATTTTTATCTCATTTTATGTATCTTTTTAATTAAATTGTGTAATATTGACCGCAGTTTTTCTGTCGCAAGAATGCGACATGTTTAAAAATTGTATCATGATTAGTAAATACGTGATAATATTTCCCACTATCTAAAAGTGAAACAAAAATTTATATATTCTTATATTCATAACACATAGTTGATTACTTACTGTTGCAAGAAGCTTCGCATCTATAGTCAAACATTTTACCGAAAATGTATTTTTACGATGTAATATTTGTAAAGAAAACTGCTGCAACTGTAACGTAAAATCACAAAATAATGAAATATAAGAATAAAGAAATTACCCCTACAACACGAAATATTGCAGCAATATTACAGCAATATTATTTTGAAAGATTGTAATAAAACTCATAAAACATAGTTGCAATATTGTAGCAATATTCCTATGTCCGCAAAAATAAAATACTGCTATAACATTATGCAATACTTCAATAATTACTCTAGTTCTATTAATTGCTAACATATATTATTTAGCATTATCCTCCAAAATACATACGATAAAGCTATGATAAAGTTATAATAAAAAAAATATTCGGCGGCCTATAAAGTACATCCAAGGTTATGTTCCGATTCCTACTGCCACCCAGGTATTATTCCATCCTTGTTATTTACCGAAACAAGGATGGCATGACACCCGGAAAACACGGGTGAGAATCCGAACACGCCTAAAAAAAAGTTAAGAATTTCTAGAGACTCGCTAACTCGATTTACGTATTCTTTTTTATAAGACCTCTGGACGTTTTCTTCTTATGAGAAGCGTATTCCTCTAGTGGCGAGGCCGCGTACTTATTTATTGAATTGTAATAATATATTGCAATATTTTCTACAAAATGTTAAAATTGCATTATTTTGCAATATTGTTGCAATATTTCCAGTAAAATATTATAATTTCAATATTACGGCAATATTACTGTAATTTTTGTAATATTGCGCACTATTGAAATATTGTTGCAATATTTCGTGTTGCAGGGGTAAATTACAATTCAAATTAATCACAATTATCCTTCAATAAATATAGTAAAATCGTGTCTGTATAAAAAGTAAATAATAGATAGATAAAACAATCTCCTTTTCGCATCTTTACCTCGTTCTTTATCTGCTCATCATTGATATTATTAAGTAGATCGTGAACTGTGATGCTGATCTCTTGCGCTTGATTTTTGCCAGTCTCACAGGCCCACACAAGTAGCGTTATTTTTACAACATAATATGCTATTGACGATGAAAATATGCGAGGAAAGTGCATATCAAAACTAATGAATACTCCATCTTGCCAGCGCACTACGTCAGAGTAAATATCAAAAGTAATGCTAATAAAGGATGTAACTATAGTACCAAGGAGTTGCAAACCGAACATTGTGTTTAGCATTTGCACTGTGTTGCTAATCTTCAGATGCCACTTCTTTAGGGCCTTCAGTTTTAATAGTAAAGTTTGATTTCTTTGTGTATGACAGATCAACCCGGGGATACATAATTTTATATCATTTACCATTAGTCTCTGCATATATGCCAGATTGTCATTAATATTTTTGAAACAAGCTTTTAATACACAAACACAATTTATGTATATCATAATTATCTCAAATGTCAGCATGTAGAGATACAATGAGATCGTTCCAATGAAGATGGTGAAATAGTCCAGTTGAAATAGTTGTGCTTTATAAATAAATCTGTATGTTTGTATGATTAAGAAGATTATACCGAAAATGTCTTTGGCGTGGATTAATTTGGACAGTTTCTGATACGACTCCGAGGACAGTTCCTGAGAGATTTTTGATATAGTCTGTAGCAAGCGCATTTGCGGACCGCTTAGGATAAACGTGATGATTATTATTAAACTGTTTAACGTGAAATAAGTAGTACCTGAAATTCCTCTGATTATTTCTTCAAAGTTTTGTGTTGAAATAACGTCCGTAATATTGCAAATGACTGTTAACACAAGAACACAGCAAAAACAGCCAACCATGATTGACACAATGTAGTGTGGTTTTGTAAATTCGAAGGTCGAAGCGTTGATTTTGTACGGAAACATTCCAAAAATGCGACAAATGGTGAAACAGGGATACATTAAAGATTGATAGTCTATGGCGTGAAATAACCATTGCCTTTTCCACATTTTGCTCTTGATATATCATCGAATTTTCGAATATGATTAGCAAAAATTTATAGAGAATGATAGTCTATATAATGAACTACAACCTATATTATATACATTTTAACAATATAAATGATTACTAAAATTTCTTTTTTAAATGTAATCTTTTTTAAATGTAAAGTTTGTATCTTCGTAATCGGTATGCAAACTGATTTAGTCTCTACATACCATCTCGACGAATTTAAATTTAATACTGCGATCAAATCCTCATGTAGAAAGACATAGCTAAAGGAATCATTTGTTAGTCCTGTAGTTACCATGGCGTTCTTCGATATCATCAAATGGATCTTTGAAAATGGATTACAGTAAACGCTGCGTAAGTGTTATGACGTACTTAAATTATGTATGCATATAGACTTGCTATATATCCACTTGAATCAATAATTTAAAGACATCCATTAATAATAGTTGATTAATAATGGACATTAATGTCCTATTAAAATACATTATTTATGTGAATAGATGCATCTTTATTTCAGTACATGTGTAACAAATATTATATTAAAAAATAGAATTATAGTACTTACAATAGCCGTATTTAGCTTTCCGAAAAGTCTAATAGTTGAAGAATGATTTTGAATAATTTTTTATTGCATACTATGGAAACAAATTTTGGAAGTTTTATTATAAATTATGTACAAAAGGATTTATTAAAAATATTGGAAACTAATTATAAATAATAAAATTTGCAAAGACTTAAAAATATTTGTTGTGCATCCTACGATTAGGATGAATTTATCTGCGTTTGTCTACATAATTCGAAAATTAATTTTGTTATTAGCAAGTATAATTTTATGTTATAGAAATTCTAAGTCATTCAATATTTATATTACAATCAGTAAAGAAGTAGCTTCAGCGAATTATTATTGTGATAATGTGATAATAATAAACCACTGTAATAATATTTCAAGAAATTTTATTTAACCATTGATAAATAATATTATAGTAATAGAATTTTTAACAAAATGTTTAAACTAATTTTAAAAATTGTCATAAATTGTTAAATAAACTTTAATATGATTATATTACAACTTTTTAAAAACTAATTTATACTCTTATGTTTATGAAAATAATTATAGTAAAATAGATACAAATTTATTTGAAATGTTAGATAAAATAATATATCTTCTAAGAGGGGTTTTAAATTATAGTTTATCTTTACATATGTAGAATAAATAAAATTATAAACTGTATGGATATATTAATATTTATTTAATATTTAATTTACATTGATAAAAATAAAGAGCAATAATCGAAGAATTACATATTATATAATATATTGTATTTACTATACAGAATGTAATTTATATATCAATATTTGTGATGGATTATTTTACTATGTATTATATTATACATTTCTTATGTGAGTATTTAAACTTTACAATTCAATTCGATGTTAACATATATGTGGAATAAGATTTTCAAAATATTTTTATTCTGTGCATATATAAGTATGTATTTACATGTATTTAAATGCAAATATAAAACATCAAAAGGTTATTTATATGAAAAGTAATTTATTATATAATAGCCAATTTTTTAATAACACATTTGATTGTTTAATATTTCTTCTTACTGCAGTTATAGCTTTACATCCGTAATATTATTTGCCATCTCTTTTTTGCATGAAGCAAACTTAAATTGAAGCATTATCATCACGTACATGGCGATGCTACCGATTATCTAAAAGAAAAATTTAAAAATAAATCTATATACCTTATAAAAGTTATTAATTTTTAAAGTAAGTTATTAATTAATAAAAAATGCGACAATTCACTCACCCGAGCGAGAAATTTTGCGTCTATAGTAAGACCTTTTGCGGAAAATGTATTATTACAATGAAGTATTTGCAAGGAAAATTGTTGTAACTGCAATCGTAAAATAGTGAAATATAGAATTGAAAAATGTAATAAATCTAACAGATGTAATATCAAAAACTGTTTTGTTATATAATATATGAGCCACATTAAGACAATATAAAGGTGATATAAAACTTCAATATTTTATTATACTACCTCATCTTTGATTTGTTCATCGGTAGTGCTGTTAATTGCATCATAAATGTAAGTGATGATTTGTTGAGCTTGATTTTTACCCGTTTCACAAGCCCACACTATTAATATTATTTTTATAAAAAGGTATGCCATGTATGATAGAAAATACCCGTCAAATAAAGTATTCGTTGACGATAAATATCCACTGGATATGTGGTAATATAACATCAAAGAGATATGAGAAAAGGTTATAACTGTTGTAGCAAGAAGTTGCAAACCAAAGATCATGTTCAACATTTGTACTGCATTGCTGACCGTTAGATGTTGTCTTTTCAGGATCTTGAGCTCCATGACCAAGAATGGATTTCTCTGCTTGTAATAAATCGGTCTAGGAAAATGTAACTCATTGTTTGTGGCTATGAATTTTTGCATGTTTCCTAGATTGTCATTGATTCCTTTAAAACACTCTTTTAATATACAAACGCAATTCATATACAACATATCCATCTGATATGTGCATAGATGGGGATAAATTTCAAATAAGATCATTATTTGCAGCCTGGAAGCATATATCACCATGATTCCAGCAACAAGAAAACCGATGATGTCCTTAGTGTGAATCAATCTAGATAGCTTCTGATATGATTTCGATGGTACTCTTGAAGAGATCTTTAATATAGTCTGGAGCAAGCGTGTTCGCGGACCAGTTAAAATTATCGAGATGATTATTATAAAGTCGCCAAGCACTAAGGCGCAGTACTGAGCAAGATACACGGGGAAATCGTTCATACCGATAGGAATATTATATAACATTAACAATATGTAAATATTATAAAAGCAGATAGTGACAATCGACAGAATGTAATATAGTTTTGAAACTTTGAAAGTCGAAGCATTAATCTTATATGGACGTATTCCAAGAATACGACAAAAAGTGAAGCAAAGATACATCAGGGATTGAAAGTCCTTGGCGTTAAACAATTGCCATTCTTCCTTTTTTCGTTTGTTTTTAGGTTCTTCACGGAAATTCGTTGATAAATTTAACATGTTTAATGATGTCACAAAAAAACAAGAAATCCAATTGTAGACAATAATCTATAAATTATTAATTTATATAGTTATCAATATATTTTGGTATTAATATGAATGCAGTAGAGAGAGCTTCTTTTCTAAATGTAACCTTTTTACTTTTTGTGTTACACGTGAGTAAAGCGATATGAACTCTTCACAGTCGATGTACACTCTATGAATTTAATTTTAAAACTGCGAATAATTATAGTCTCCTATAGTGACACAAAATAATTAAGAAACTTTGTTAGGCGTGATGTAACCATGGCATTTTTCGATTGACAATTATCATTTTTGTATAAAAATGAAAATGCAATTGCTGTGACATGCGACAATATTTGTCAAATCGTTTATATGAACATGAAACGGCAGTATCCTGCGCAATAATCCCTGTGGATTGGTAGCTTTCAGAAATGCATTTATAACTTCCTTTCTAATGACTGTTTTGAAAGCCTATATTTACATTTTGCATAAAATGTTTGACATCTTTATTACATATAACTTAATTTGTTCTTTCTTGCTAGTTTGTATATATGTAAATACATAAATTTTTTACATACAGTACATATGATATATGTCATATATTATAAATATTGAAAATATAAAAGATATTCCCTTCTACTTGTGTTAAATTATGTTATATATATTATAATACCGATATAAATTTTTGTTATAAGTTCATAAGGTAAAATCAGGGATTACGGCATAGGCTACTAATATGGAATACCTAGTGATCTTCTACTTGTGTTAAATTATGTTATATATATTATAATACCGATATAAATTTTTGTTATAAGTTTATAAGGTAAAATCAGGGATTACGGCATAGGCTACTAATATGGAATACCTAGTGGCTTATTTTTTAAACAAAGCATTGCAATCTGGTGGCAATCGCTGAAAGTTATTGCAACTATTACCAAACATGTCATAACAAGCAATGAATTCGGACCGACCAACCGTTTTGCTACAATTAACATTTATTTATTTTCGTTACGTCAGAAGATTCGGCAGGTTTTCTAAAAAGTGTTCTCACAAACTGAAGGTAAATTTTTTTAATGCTTATATTGCACAGACGTTTTTAATCCTTCGACCTACAACCACGAGTGAGACTCATGGTAAGGAATTTGGTAAGTAAGACTCGTGATAAGGAGTCTGACTCGTGCTTATTGTTTATGGACCAAATTCCTCACCACGAGTCTCACTCGTGGTTGTAGGCCAAAGGATTAATAATGTTGCATGAACAATATTATGCAGATTAATTGCTATTTCAAACTTGTTTATTGCTACGGAAAGACTTTATTTGTCATATGACGATACGCAAGTAATATGGAATACATCGAGGGTTGAGAATATGGAATAGATTCCATGCATGTTAGCAACTTATTCGTGATCAGATTAGGTTAGGTTAGATTACAGCATGTATTCTATATCAGTTTATTTGCGATTTATCAGCTTATTTGCGATTTTTTATTTATCCATGCGTAATAACGTTTGTAATAATACTATTATATTTTCTGTGTTATTGTACAATAAAAATTGAACAGTTTTCTATTCTTCTTGATCAGTTTATATAAATAAACAAATTTGGACTTCATTTATTGTGTTTTTTATTACTATAGTCAAAATTTCATCGGTATTCCATATTACATCCCATTTTTTAAACCCCCCATTTTCTCACTTTTAACTTTGCGACTTTCATTTATTGGATGTTGTAGCTAACATATTCCTCAAGAGTTCTGTGTAAATTTGAAGTCTTCATGTGCATTTATATCGGAGCAATGTTAATTTAAAAAAATCTATTCCATAATCCCTGCTTTTACTCTATATGTAGGTATTTATTGGTTGGAGGAAATGTTTTACGGATTTTTTTAGCTCAAAATTATATACAGAATATATTCGTTTTTTTGCGAAATTTTTAACTATCTAAAAGCTTAAAATTTTCCCTAAAAATTTGTTTTTAAAAAATGTTCTTACGATTTTTTGTTAGCGAGTTACACACGGATTAAACAAAAACGCATTCTGACTTTGATTGCCCTTAACTCAGGAACAAAAAATTATAGAAACATTAAAAAAAAATGATTTTGTAGAAAAAGCTTTCACGATAGTCGAAAATTTTCGCAAATTTTTTTTGAACACATGAAAGACCCACAAAGTGAAAAGAAAATTTTTTATCTATTTCAGCTTGTAGTTTTTTTTATATGTAAAAATTACCATATTCACAGAAACTCAAAAAATATAGCAACTTTTCGAAAGTAGAGATTTCACAAGCTTTAAAATCCTTTTTTTTAATTTAAATTTCATTCATTTTTACGATATTGTATATATAATTTTGAATTGAAAAAATCTACAGAACTTTTCTTTTGATCCAATATATAACTTTACAAATTAATTTTTTTAATTATTTTGATCAACTACCAATTATATTCAAGTAGTATTAATTTAAGTGATATTTTTCATAAATATATTTATTATGACTTAAATTGCATTTAAATAAATTGTATCGCGCCTGATAATCTGAATATCGATTGAACAGAATTCGCTCTTGCGTGCGTGAATCGATAAACAAGTTAAATATGATAAGAACTAAAGACCAAAAGGAAACAGTTGATTTTAATTCTGCGAATTGTTGAAAAAAGTTACACAAAATAAAATAATAACGTTTTATTATTGTAAAATACTCATCAATGTTGTACATATTGTACATCCACATACGGATTGTACATACAAGAGTTTGTTATATCTATTACATATATTATATAAAAACATTTATTGAAAAATACAAAATATTACTTTATAATGATTTTAATAATAATGAAACTTATATTTTTTAATATTTAAGTTACTTTTTTATCTAATTACGTACTTTTTAAAATTAGATTGTAATATTAATTGCTGTCTTTCCATCACAAAAATGAGACGTGTTTAAAAATTGTATTAAGATTATTAGGTATATAGTAATATTACCCACTATCTAAAAAATAAACAATGTAAGCAATAAATATTTTAGTAAAACAAATAATTATAAGTACTTACTATTGCGAGAAGTGTAGCATCCATAGTCAGACCTTTTGTCGAAAATATATTTTTGCAATGCAATATTTGTAAAGAAAATAGCTGCAACTGCGATATCAAATTTCCAAATAATTAAATGTAAGAACGAAATAATAGAACATAATTATACTTTTAAACTAATTAAAGAACATAATTATACTTCAGATTTTATTGTGTTAATATAAATTATATTTTCAAAATAAATATATAAATAATACAATCTTATTTTCGCATTTTTTTACCTCATTTTTTATCTGCTCATCATTGGTACTGTTAAGTAAATCATGAACAGTAGTGATGATCTCTTGGGCTTGATTTTTGCTAGTTTCGCAAGCCCATACCAATAATGTCATTTTTATAATGTAATGTCCTATTGACGTAAAAAGTGTGAAAATGAACTGTATATCAATGTTAATTAATATCCCATTCTGCCAACGTACTGCATAAGAATAAATTTCGAAAGTGATAACACAAAAAGTTAAGAGTATAGTAGCAAGAAGTTGCAAACTGAAGATTACGTTCAACATTTGCACTGCATCGCTAATCATCAGATGTTGCTTTTTCAAGATTTTGAGTTCTATCAGTAAAAATTGATTTCTCTGTGTTTGGCAGATCAACGTGGGTACACGTGGCTTAACTACGATTTTTTGTAAGTGTGCCACATTCTCGTCAATTCTCTTGAAACTGGCCTTCAAAACACATACACAATTTATATACAGCATATTTATCTCGAACTCCAGAAGAATTTGATATAAGGCGAACACCTTGTGCATGATAGATGTACGGTTTTTATTCTTCCGCTTTTGAAAAATATATAAGCACACTTGCACGACTACGAATATAGTACCAAAGATATCCTTGACATGGATTAATTTGGATAACTTTTGATATGATTTCGAAGATAATCTCTTAGAGATTTCCATAATAGTCTGTAACAAGCGCATTCGCGGACCGCTTAAAATGTGCGTGATGATAATAACAAAGCTGTTAAGAATATAGAAACAAACAATTTCAAGATTCCTGATTTTGATTTCAAAATTGAATGTTGAAATAATATTGTAAAGATATGCTAGATTAAAAGCACAGCAAACGCAGACAACCACAGTCGAGACGATGTAATGCGATTTTGAAAATTCGAAGGTAGAAGCATTGATCTTGTATGGAAATATTCCGATAATATAGCAAAAAGTGAAGCAAGGATACATTAAAGATTGGAAGTCCGTGGCGTGAAACAGCCTACATTTTTTCCACATTTTGCTTTTGACGTATTGTTGAATTTTCGAAGATCTGATTAGCAGAAATTTATGGAAAAATAACAATCTGTATCATGATCTTCAGCTTACAATATTAATTCACTACACACTTTAGCATTAACATGGACATGAAAGTCTCTTTTTCCTAAATTTAAACTATAAGTTTGTCTTTCCACCATAAATGAACTGATGTGATCTCTATGTATTATCTAGACAAATTTAAATTTAAAACTGCGAGTAAATACTTGTTCGTAGAAAGTAGAAAGACCGAGTTAAAGAATCTATTTGTTAGTCGAGAAGTAACCATGGTATTCTTCGATCAGCACTTATTTCTCTGGGGATGATTGCAAATAATTTACGTAAATTATTAAATATGCTTTAAGTATGATTAATGATTATATCGCAATTTTATTGAAAAATAAAATGTTCTTGTATTTATAACATAAAGTAATTAAAAGAATCAAATTTGCTATAAAGAATTAGCTAAAATAAAACAATATTTACAATATTTCTTCTAACAATAAGATAGGATATCAAATTTTACATGGAAAAATTGTATCATGTACTTTTTTAAATTAGATTGTATAACATTAATTGCTATCTTTCTATCACAGGAATACGATATGTTTAAAAATTGTATTAAGATTAATGGTAATGTTACCTACTATCTAAAAATAAAATAAAAATGTAAGCAATAAACGTATACATATATTAACTAGAACAAATAATTGATTACTGTTGTGAGAAATGTCGCATCTATTGTGAAAAATTTTGTCGAAAATATATTTTCGCGATGTACCTAATACTTGTAATGAAAACTGCAACTGCAACATCAGATCATAAAACAATTAGTTGAATAAAAACTAGAACTGCGCAAATCAATAAATCTAAAATTTCGAATAATTGCATTTAAAATAATTATGTTAGTGTAATATATTTTAGCAAAATACATATAAATAAATAAAATTATATTGTTACTTCATTTTTTATTTGCTTATCATTGATGCTGTTAAGTAGATCGTGAATGGTAATACTAATGTCTTGCGTCTGATTCTTTCTGGTCTCGCAGACCCATACAAGTAATGTCATTTGTAGAATGTTATATGTCGTACAAATTAAAAACACATCAATTGATTATTTATTTAAATTAAAGGACACTTAATTTTGCCATCGTACAACAAAAAAGTACAACTCAAAGATGATAGCAGAAAAAGTTATGAATATAGTAGCAACGAGTTGCAAACTGAAGATTATGGTCAGCATTTGTATTGCATCGCTAACCATCAAATGTTGCTTCTTCAAGATATTTAATTTTATCAACAAAAATTGATTTTTCTGCACATGGTAGATAAATCCAGGGACAAATACGTTTACATCATTTACAATAAGTCCCTGTATATGTGCCAAATTGTCATTGATTCTCTTGAAACAAGCCCTTAATACATAAACACAATTTACATGCAGCATATTTATCTCAAATGCCAGCAAACTGATGTATATAGAGACGTCGCAGTTAGGACAATCAAACAGTTTAGATTGAACTAATGCATTTTAGATAAAATTATGAATAGTTGCGCGGCTCGATAGATAATGCCCAGTGTATCTTTGATATGAATAAATTTAGACATCTTTTGGTACGATTTTGATGGTAATTTCGAAGAGATTCAAAATAGTCTGTAGCAAACGCATTCGTGGACCACTTAAAACATGTGTGATCACTATGAAACCGTGAAACATACAATAATCGATAACTTGTAAATTTTTTGTTACAAGTTATTATATTTAATAAATATTTAGTTGGCATGTATTCAACTAAATATTTATTAAAATTGACTATATTTTTTTTTCAGTGTAGGGATTGTACATAGATGAAAGAAATGATGTGTTATTATTATAACTATAACATATTACTCACTAATTGACGTATGCACATATGGAATAGAAAACTGGAAAATAAAATCTTGAATCGAGTAATATTTTGTATTTTTAACATGACTTGATGAGTAATATGAAATATTTTTTTAAATAAGATTAAAAAATTTAATTACGTTTATCTGTATATAGGTCGAAATATAAAAATTGAAAATAATATATCGATGGATTTATGCTTATTCAGATAGCACAAAAAGAATTCAGTTGTATGTCATCAATTTCGAATTCATTTTCAGATGTAAAAAGAATTCTTTTTAGAATTGTTCAGGAAAATAATTCTTTTTGTGTCTAAAAATAAATTTTAAATTGATGATATAACAACTGAATTCTTTTTTATTTCTTTTTGAACTCTCTGTGCTATCTGAGTATATTTAGTATTTATATTTAATATAATACTGTATTTTTTTAACGAGAAATAACAATTAAAATTACATTACATAACATATTAATAGGTTATATTATATAATATACGTACAGAGCAATGCTCAGAAATCAATTAATACATATTTAAGCATATTTAAACAAATAAAATGTTAAATTTTATATTTAATTAAATGTTAACATATTAATCGAATAAAATTTTCATAGGTTTAGTATGTTTATATACATGTATTTATTGGAATACAAGAATGAAATGTTAAACGATTATATATCTATTCACATAACGAAAAGAAGTAAAAATATTTAATTCATTTATATTGTTGACAAGTCCATTATGGCCTAAAGCAAACGCATTCGTGAACTAGTAAAACATATGTGACAACTGCTACGAAATTAGCGAGCATGTAGTAACTATTACGCTCGAGAATCCTGAATACGCTATTATCATCTTTCCAGAAATGAAAATCTCATACAATATTACCAACTTGCAAATACAACAAACGCAGATAATAAGGGTTCATAGAATGAAAAGCGGTTTGTAATCTCGAAAGTTGAAACGTTGATTCTGTATGGAAATATTCCGAGGATGTGACAGAATTAAGTGAAGCAGAACTACATCAAGGATTCAAAGTTTGTAACGTAAAACAATTGCCATTGTTTCCGTATTTTATCCTTGGCCCGTTTGTGGAATTTCGACGAAGAGTTGAACATCTTCATTATAGAGAACTTCAATCTAAGCCATTGATGTACAATTTAAAAATTAATTATTATCAATACACTAAATTATTAATTATTTCAGTTATGAATACACTTTATCAATAATACGAATGTGATCTGCAAATGCTTCTTTTTTAAATATATATATATTTTATTTTATTTTTCTAACAACATACACGTTATATACCGACATATCTCTTTGTTGTTAATTTACATTTGGTGAGTTTAAATTTAAGACTGAGAACACAGATAGTGCATCGAGAAGCGAGACCAAACTGAATAAGTTTCTTAGTCGTTAAGTAACCATGACGCTCTTCAATCATTTATCACGTGCAGTGCAGCGTACATATTGCTACATAATATAATAATGTGTAATTATTGTAACACATCAGCAATATTTTTTATTTATACATATACATATACATATACACGAAACAGTAAATTCACAGTATACATCGATAGCTCGCAAAGATTAATAATTCTAATAATGACTAAAATTTCATTCTCCATATTCCATACATTATCCATTAGTAGGATATATTCTTTATAATATCACACACACATGTACACACAAATTTGGTACTTAAGGTTTTTAATTTTCATATAGTTTATTATATCATTTTTAATGTGAAAATATTGTTGACATTTTTTTGTCAATCAAAATATGTTGTTGATATTTGAGTTTTATGCAGCTAATTATAGTATAATTTTTTCTTGAATTTACTAAAATATTTTAAATTAAATTAAATTTATTTTAGTATTTTTTTAATATTGTATACTAAAGCATTAAATTACGCAATTACTTTGAAGTATAACATTGTGAAAAACATGTGTGACAAATGAAATGTTAATAAATTGGAACTAGAATACAAGTACAATATTAATAAATTGAAACTAGAATAATACAAATACAATGCTATTGATAAAGATTAATCTAACTATTTATCTAGATTAAAATTAATCGACATATTCTCTCTCTTTGGTGAAATTCTTAACAGATCGTAATCTATAAACTACATGCAGGATAGCTAATCTTCTTTATTTTAGCAATAATAAAAAATGTAATGACAAAAGACATCAATGTTATCACGCTAATTTATCAATCGCATTACATTTTAATGAAATGTCCTTTAATCATCGTTAATAGATGAATTAGCTCAAAATGCAAAGAAATATTCAATAAGCTGTTTTCGAAAATTAGTTTTAATTATAAAGTCCATTTCAAAAATATGTTTCACTTTTTATCATGTTCTGAGAAAAATAAAATTATATTATAATAAGTCTAAATCAATTTAAATATTAGACAAGATTAACCAAAGGTATCACTAACAAATTTTAACCTCAAGTTATCATATTAAGATATTTCTTACGAACATATTTATTATATTTGACACACGATACACATAAGCAAGTAAAATACATTTACACAGTAAAGATTTATTTTTGCAATTAAATGTTAACATATAAGGTTTTGTCTCTATATACACTTATTACGTCTACATGTGTCTAATGTTGAAACATACACAAAATAATACGTTTAAATATTTAAAAGAATATTTTTTTATTTTATTTGATTATCTTTTTTTAATTAGATTGTTTATGTAATATTGTTTGTAATCTTATTACAAACTTGATCAGTAATTAAAAATTGTATTAAAATTAATAGATATGTAGTGATGTTACTCACTATCTAAAATTAAATATTATACCTTTTAAACAAACGGCTTCCGAACAAATCAAATTTGAACAATAAAGGAGCATTAAAAGCCAACGCAGGATAACAGTGCAATAAATATATTAATTTACTTTACATTATATCTTGATAAACATTCGACCATATATCTGGTCATCCTCAGTATCGTAAATCAAACTGGTATTAACCGCTACTTACAAAATTATCATCTACAAAATATTTATAATAACATAAATGTCCGTCACGAAAAGATTCTTCTTTCTCTTTGTTTCATTATAGTACAACATCGTTGAAAATTATTGTTGCTTAATTTGAAATTCCACCAGCATCTCCGACCCTCATAGGACATTCCCAAATTCTATGAGTCGAACAGAAACACCAATATAAGGATAAATCGTACCGTATTACATGTTAAAATCGCTGACAAGCTCTCAAAAATATGTGTATCGTCAGAAACAAAAATGGAAAAACCGCTCAGTGTCACATATTAAAATCTCTGACAAGACCTCAAATAGATATAGTCAATATAAATGTAACAGTTTTCCATTTGTATTTCTGATGATGCAAATATTTTTGAGAGCTTGTCAGCGATTTTAACATGTGATACGGTACGATTTATCCATTGGTGTTTCTGTTTGACTCACAGAATTTGGGAATGCTGTGAAGGTCGGAGATGCTGGTGGAATTTCAAATTAAGTAACAATAATTCTCAACGACATTGTATTATAATGAGACAAAGAGAAAGAAGAATCTTTTCGTGACGGACGTTTATGTTATTATAAATATTTTGCAGACGACAATTTTATAAGTAGCGGTTAATATATTAATTTGATTTGCGATACTGAGGATTATCAAATATATGATCGAAACGTTTATCAAGATATATGTAAAGTAAATTAATATATTTATTGCACTGTCACCCTGTATTGGCTTTTATGCTCCTTCAATGTTCAAATTAAAATTGTATATAAATAATCAATACACATTATTTAAAACAAATAATAATTCACTTACCCCGACGAGAAGTGTTGCGTCTACTATAAGACCCTTAGCGGAAAATGTATTTTCCCGTTGCAGTACTTGTAAAGAAAACAACTGCAACTACAAAACATCAGATTAGAAGATGATTAAATACAAAATTAAGAAATAATTACTAACTACACAGATTTAATGTATAAAGTTTGACACACGAGATATCTTCAGAAAATGTACAAATCAAATTTTATTATTTTATTTACTTCATCTTTAATTTGTTCATCGATAGTGTCATTCAATATTTCATGAACGGTGGTACCAATCCTCATGGCCTCATCCTTGCCAGTATCACAAGCCCATCCCATCAGCGCTATTTTGATGCACTGATACATCAAAGACGTTAACAGTAACCAATCCAAAAGCTTGTGATTTACATTTTTCGTATCAATTTTCCAATGAAAAATATAGAAATATAAAAGGAAAGTAAGCTCAGAAAAAGTTATAACTATGGTAGCGAGAAGCTGTGGACTGAAAATTGTATTCAACATTTGCACGGCGTCACTGGTAATCAAATGCTGTTTTCTCAAAGCTTTGAGTTTCATTAGTAGGAATGGATTTTTCTGTTTATGATAAATCCTCCTCAAAAGATGTGGTTCGTCGTTCATCACAACTTGCTCCAAATTCGCCAGGTTATCGTTGATTTCCTTAAAACAGGCCTTTAATACACATACGCAATTTATATATAACATATCCATTTGAAGTATTATCAAGTTCATGTACAGTATGAAAATCTTGTCCATGTTATTAAACTCTAATACAAAACGATAAAATGTTGCTTGCCCGATTAAAAAAAAGAATCCGAAAATATCTTTAGCATGAATCAATTTAGATAGCTTTCGATACGAATCAGGAGGCAGTCTCAGAGAGATTTCCATTATATTTTGGAGTAAGTGCATCCGAGAACCGTTCAAAATATATGTAACAATCGCAATAAACCCGCTGAGTGTAAAAAAACAATTACGTTCAAAAGCCAAAGCTATGGTATCAAACTTGATTGTTCCAATAATGTTAATTCTACACAATACTCCTAGTTCGTAAATACAGAGAATGCCTATAATAACGGTTGCCAGAATAGAGCGCTGTTTCGTAGTTTCAAAAGTCGAAGCGTTGATGCGATACGGAAATATTCCGAGTATGCGGCAAAAGGTGAAGCAGGGATGCATAAGCGATTGAAAGTCCGTAGCATGGAACAACTGCCATTTTTTCCACATTTTGCACTCAGTGCATCTTCGAAATTTCAATGACATATTTATCATTATTGGTAAAATAGAAGTTCCCAATAACTTATATTATACAACAACTTAGATTGTACTGTCCAAAAATGATTAATTTTACGCTTTAGCATTCACATAAACTTTAAAGTGAGAATTGCTTTCTGTATATAGCCTTCAAGATTATTTGATAAGGATTCCTCATTGATCTACACTCGGACAATTTTCATTTAAAACTGCAGGCAATTGCAGCATCGAAACAATACCTAAGCCGTCAATTGTTAGTCATAAAGTAACCATGGTACTCTTCGATCGGCAATCATCATCTTTGATGTGTGCAGAGTATAATAAAATAAAATAAAACGTAACTATAGTATAACTCAGAAAATCATGTGTACATACATCAAATTAACTGTGTTCTACATGAATTGATAGCTTTCTCAAAGTAATCTTAATATAACTAATTTAAAAAATATTAAATATTAGGGTTTTATAATACATATAGAGTATTTAAAATTTCTATATTACAACATTGAGATTTAACTGTTTCCGTATGACATTTTTCTATTGTATATTTATGTGTATTCATACTCATAATTTATTTCATTTTCTTATACAGTGAGAGCAAAAAATTTCGTACAAGGATATTAAAAGTAATTTCAAAATTGTATTAGTTTATTGATACTGACATTAATACGACACATTAATAATGTTTTAATCTCTTAAAACGAAATCGTTAAATTATTCAATAAGTTCAAAATGATATCTTTCACAAATACGTTTATACTTATGCTACACATATATCCTCATATCTTTATAAAAAAGAAAATATTTTTATTATATAACGATAACGAAAAGTTTATTTTTCACAAAGGTTATAACCATATATATTTGGCCATTAATTATTTATTTTATCTTTCTTAGTAGATTATTTGTGTAACATTATTTGCAAATCTTCCGTTGCAAAATTGCGTGGTATACAAGAATTGAATCAAGATTAATGTGTATATAGTTACGTTACCCACTATCTAAAATCAGATTTATAAGAATAAACAATACGCAAGTATTGAATTAATTAAGAAACAAATAATCGCTCACTTACTGCAGTTAAAAGAATAGCATCCATAACGAAACTTTTCACGAAGAATGCATTTCCGCGGTGCATTATTTGCAAAAAAACAGCTGCAACTGTAACACGTGAAATTATAATTAAATACGGGATTACCATTCTTCACACTGCAAGATTTCTTTTAGTTAGAAATACAATTAAAAAAATTATCTCGTGTTTTATTTGCGCATCTGAAATGTTATTAAGTATATATAATAATCATGAACGATGGTGTCAATTTTCATGGCCTGATTTTTACCAGTCTCACAAGCTCATACTATCAACGCTATTTTTATAGAGTAATATATCATAATTAGGTACTAATAAATACAAATCATAAATCTGATTATCCAATTGGTTTAGTAACGTTTTTCAATGCAATATATAAAAGTATAAGTTATAAGTGAATTCGCGCGACAAAATGTAATAGCGAAAAGCTGCAGACTGAAAATCGTAGCATCTGCACTGTGTCACTGATCACCAAGGGCTGTTTCTTTAACTCAATGAGTTCCATTAACAGAAATGAATTTCTATTATAGAACATCGCATGTTCAATTAAATAGACAAAACCAAGAATATCTTTAGTATGGATCAATTTAGACAGCTTTTAATACGAATTCATGGGCAGTTTCGTTAGAGAAAATATTCATTACGGTCTAGAATAAATGCATTCGAAGATCACTGAAAATGTATGCAACGATCGTGATAAAAGTACCGAGTATATAAAAACCATTACGCTCAAGTGTCTTAAACTCATTCTACACATTTACTTGCGTAAGCATAATAGTTGTAAGTGGTTGTAGTTGTAAGGATTGACCAATCACAGTCTGATATGAGGAGAATATTCTACTGTGTTCAATTCTTGTAGCTACAACCACTTATCAACTATGCTTACGCAACTGATGTAGAATAAGCTTTAGGTACGCCTTTGAATTTAATCGTTCTAGCAATGTCAATCCCATAAAGCGCTTCTAGTTCGTAAATGCAGAAAATACAAAGAACAAGTTGATAATACGTAACGCTGCAGTTTAGAAGTTTCGAAAGTTGAATCATTGTTTTTGTACGAGAATATTCCGATAATATTGCAAAACGTGAAACAGGATCAATGATCGAAAGTCCGTAGCACAGAACAGTTGCCATTTTCCCCACATTTTACACTTGGTAGCTTCGTGTAATTTTGTTGACAAACTGAACATCAGTACCTACAATGATCTACCTCATAAGCTACATCATATACTGCTCAAAATGATTATATTTTATATTATATAGTATTAGTATATATTTTTTTACCGTGAGAATTTCTTTCTGAATATAGCTTTTGAATTCTAATTGCATAAATATAGACTTTTTTCGTTGATCTATACTTAGAGAATTTTAGTTAATAACTATAAAGTTGTTACTATCTTGAAATATTAGTATTATTTGTTAATAGAAGGTAACCATGATGATTCGATCGGTAATTATTACCTTTGGTATTGTGCATTATAAACTACAATGTAACAAATTTTGCTTAATTGATATTACAAAGTATTCGTTACAATTAAATTTGTTCCCATTTGTTATAGCGAAATTTATTACTTTGCGCTAAATAAATAGTTATATAAATATTAAATGTTAATAACAATATTAATAATAAAAAAGGATGTAATATAGTGGACAAATTAAAATTGAATATTTTTGCTGAAGCATGAAAATATAATCATGTGCATGCGAATAAATGTAATGAGTCACTTAATCTATACTATCTCAAAATTACATATAATAGCTCAAAACGATTGTTTGAAACTATTATTGTTTATATATATATATATATATTTTTTTTTTTAATTTGATATCAATTTCTGTTGGTTATAGAAATATTAAAAACGTTATTCTAAATTATTTATTTAAAAGAATTAGAAGGTACCCATTGAATAATTTTAATAGAGCGTTAAGCCAATTTTATTTTAGAACAAAAAATACATTATGAAATAACTTTAGCGGTGACTTTTAATATTTACGATTTAATGATAATAAGATAAAAGAAAAAGATAAAATTCTATGCATCAATTGCTAGTAATAAAAAGTATACTTTTGTAATAATAATGAAGAAGTTCTTTGAAAACTATGAATGTCATAGATTGTATCATAAAACATTGATATAAACATTTTATTTCGAATTATAGCTAAATTTCTACTGTTGTCAATATAGCATCGAGAGAGAGAGAGAGAGAGAGAGAGAGAGAGAGAGAGATTAGATACAATAATTTTATTTATATATTTATTTGTATATTAAATCTTAAGTTATCGCAGAATGATCAATAATACTTTGAGGATCTGATATACCTTTATTATAAAAATATTAATTGAATATTTTTTATATGTTAAAAATAAATTTAAAATAATACCAACTCATAACACGCGCGCGCGCGCGCGCGAAATAGTAATTAAACCAATTAATAAATACGAAACAACATTTTTTAGAAATATGTTTATTATTATTATTATGTTAAAAGAATACATAAGTGAAAGTGTAAAATATTAAAGACTTATTTCTAAAATGCATCACATAATGTTTTATTTGTATATACATACATATATATGTGTACATATTCTTATATTATATGTTATAAAAGAGAAAGCCTTAACTTTAATAATTTCTTTCTGTTGTTAATTATATACTTCTGTTTAATTAAGTTATTTGTGTACCATTATTTACTGTCGTTACGTTGCATAAATGTGCAGTAATAAAAAATTGTATTAAGATTAATAGATATGTAGTTACGTTACTCACTATCTAAAATCAGATTTAAAAATAAACATTAAACATCGAATCAATTAAAAAGCAAATAATTATTCATTTACCGCAATAAGAAGAGTAACATCCACATTGAGACCTTTTGCAGAGAATGTATTTTCACAATGCAGTATTTGCACGGAAAATAGCTGCAACTGCAAAACCTGAGATTATAGTACATTTAATTATAAGACTCTAAAACTATAATTGGTCTGACAGATTTTATACAAATATGAAAAAGTTACATTAATAAACGAAATGCCTTTAGACAAACATAAAAACTAAATTTTATTTTTTCATTTACCTCTTCTGTAATTTCTTTATCTGAGGTATTGTTAAGCAGATCATGAACGGTAATTGCAATCTTCACTGCCCTGTCTTTACCGGTCTCACAAGCCCATACTACCAATGATATCTTTATACAATGAACCGTGGTATGCACCAGTGAAGGTATATGAGAAAATATTTCAAATATGTTGTTCTCAAACATACTAATTTCCCAATACGTTATATAGTAATATAGATGGAAAGTGAGCTGAGAAAAAGTCATAATTACAGTAGTGAGAATGTGCAGACTGAAAATCGTGTTTAGCATCTGCACTGTATCACTAATTGCTAGATGCTGCTTCTTCAAAGCTTTGAGTTCCATTAACAAGAATGAATTTTTGTTCTCGTGATAGATTCGTCTCGACAGATGCTGCTCATCGTTTATGATGAGTTCTCGCAAATTTATTAGATTGTCATCGATCCTTTTAAAACAAGCTTTCAATATACAAACACAATTCATATACAACATATCCATTTGAAATGCCATCAGATGAATGTACGGTATAGGCACTTTGTACCAAGTAAAATCCAATTTGAAACAATAAAATATTTCTACTATAACTCGAAGGAAGAAACCGAAGATGTCCTTGGTATGGATCAGCTTAGATAGTTTTTCATACGAATTGATGGGCAGTTTTGAAGAGACATTCATTATGGTTTGGAAGAAGTGCATTCGAGAGTCACTCAAAATGTATGCGACGACCATCATAAAATTAGCGGATATGTATAAGCAGCTGCGCTCAAGAGCCTTAGGTACATTTCCGACATAAATTGTTCCAGCGATGTTAATCTCATACAGCACTACTAGCATGTAAATACTGAAAACACCAAGAATGAAGATTGTTAGAATGTAACGCTGTTTAGAAGTCTCGAAGGTTGAACCACTGATTTTGTACGGAAATATTCCGAGGATACTGCTGAAGGTGAAGCAGGGATACATCAGCGATTGAAAGTCCTTAGCACGGAACAGCTGCCATTTCTTCCACATTTTGGTACTTGTCACTTCTTTAAAGTTTCAATGGCATATTAATTATTACCGATGTATAACAATTTATAACAATCCAAATTACCACAGTGCCCAAATATTTTTATACTTTAACATAAACATGAGTTTTACTGCGGTGGATATCTGAATGTATTCTTCCGTTTGTTTATAAATGTAAGCTTTTCGACAATCTGCACCCGGCGAACTTTAGTTAAAAACTGCAAGCGGTTGCTGTATCGAAACAATACTTAAGGAGTTGTTAGTCGTAAAGTAACCATGGTGCTCTTCGATTAGTAATTGTTATACCATTGTTGTGCAGAGTATAACACATATGCGTAATTGTCATTATTTATATATATAACTCACCACAATCGTATATGTATGTGTCAAATAGAGAATAATAACTATGGCATACATGATCAGTAATATTCTGAAAGTATCCTTAACTATTTCTGAGATATATTAGGTGTACAACTTAATTCTCGACATCTACATTTAACTCTCAAGTACACGAGTGGGTCATTTGGACCCGGATGAAAATTTCAGTCGGCCGCTATTTTTGTATCTGTTAATATTGCAGATAAGGTTTTGAAGTGAGAGGATAAAAAGCTTGGAACATTTCTCTGTCAATCACCGTGATGCAATTGTTTCGATGTTGTTTTGATGCTAAATGTGACGTAATAAAAGTTTGATTTGAATGACTTGGACTTGTCAAGTGTAAATTCGACAGATTTTTGCTGAAAGTGAAAATTCGTTTAGTACACTGTTAGAAATGTTCTTAAATTTCATTAACTTTTAATGTACATTGGTGCGAATGAAGTTTAATTTCTCTGTAACTGAAAGGACTATTAATGCACATGTTAATGAGATTTAAGTTTACAGGAACTGAAAAATTAAGTGTAATAAAATTTAATATACTTTTCATTTACGGATATAAATGACATTTAATTAATCGTAATTGAAATAACTATTAATGTACATATTAATGAAATTTAAGTTTGTAGTACATTAAATTTCAATACGCTTAACTTAAAAGTTAAGCATATTGAAATTTAATGTACTTTTACATATACGAATATTAATATTTTAATTAAGCCTAATACTATTAACGCTTAACGTTTAATACGTTTACGTTTCTTACATGTCATTAACGTAAATTACTTTTCAGTTACAGATCTCGTACTTTTCATTAACGTGTAAATTAATTTCTATAATAATGTGTTCATTAATTTCAATACACACGTTCAACACATTTAAAACTACTGTAATTTAGTTTTTATTTGCATCATTCATTACATTTAATTTCGTGCATAACCACATGCTTCCTTTACATGTTAATTAAAATTCATTGAGAAATTTCTAACAGTGTAAGTGCCTGTTTATCAGTACTGTAGTCAAATATATGTGTTGTCTTCTTATAATTAAAATATATATTTATTGTCAAATAAACATTTTTGCGAAAGAAGCGTCTTGGTGAAACGGTCTTCGTGAAACAAATCTCTATTTTCTGGAATTATAAGACGTGAGTAAATGTTGAAATCATTATATATTTAATATAAAATATTTTTATTGCATTTTTTTAAAGAAAAAAATACCCGACATACCTCCAATATCATTTTTCCAAGCATATATAAAAATGCCCCCACTTTAGTTGCGCAAATAATTATATTTTTTGGAACGAATCAATATAATATTTTTTTTTTTTAATTTATGTTTTCCTCTTTTCAAATACTACTAATCATGTGCATGCGTATAAATATAACATGTCATTTAATCTACTATCTCAAAATTATATAGCTCAAAACGATTATTAAAAACTATTTTATTATTGTTTATGTATATATTTTAATTTATAAATTTCTGTTGTTTATAGAGATATTAAAAACGTTAGGGGCTTACTTGTTTATATGAAAGAAATAGACAGATGCACATTGAGAATTGTCTTAATGAAGCGTTAAATCAATTTTATTTGAAAATACAAAATACATTAACTACAATTAAATAACTTTAGCAGTGACATTTAATATTTATGATTTAACAATAAGATAACAGAAAAAGATAAAATTCTATGCATGTATTGCTAGTAATAAAAAATATTCTTTTTGTAATAATAATAAAGAATTGAGATTTTATTTTAAATTATTTATAACTAACAATATAAATTAATCGAGTTCTCAATATTAAAAACAATATTACAAAAACAATAGGCAACTAAGAGCTAGTACACAGTTATTATTTTATTAATATACGTTACAATTCTTTTTTATTCTTCATCTGTATATACGTATATTTCCGACATTTCGGCTGCTTTTTTTCAACTATCTTCATGGTATAACATTAGGCTTAATAATCCAAAAATTTAAATGCAATTGTTCTGAATGTGTGCAATTGCATTTAAATTTTTGGATTATCAAGCCTAATGTTATACCATGAAAATGACTGAAAAAAGCAGCCGCGGAACGTCGGGAATATATGTACAAGTGAAGAATGAAGAAGAATTGTAACGTACATTAATAATAACTGTGTACTAGCTCTTAATTGCCTATTGTTTTTGTAATATTGTTTATAACTAAATTTTTCTACACCGTTGTCAGTATAACATCGATTAGATATTAGATACAACAATTTTTTATTTATATATTTATTCGTATATTAAATCTTAAGTTATCGCAGAATGACCAATAATACTTTAAGGATCTAATATACTTATTAATTGAATATACTTTCACATATGTTAAAAATAAATTTAAAATTTTATACTAGCCTCATAACGAAATAGTAATAAATTTATTAATTAAAATAATTAATAAATACAAAACAATATTTTTTACAATACGTTTTTTTTATTATTATTATTATTATCCTAAAAGGATATACATAAGCGAGATTGTAAAATATTAAAGACTTATTTCTAAAATACATCATATAATGTTATAAACACATATAACGTCTTATCTGTATATAGATAAATATGTATACATATTCTTATGTTATGAAAGAGAAAGCCTTAATTATTTAATAATCTCTTTCAACTATTAATTATATACCTCTTTTTAATTAAATTATTTGTGTACCATTATTGCGTTGCATAAACGCGCAGTAATCAAAAATTGTACTAATATTAATAGATATGTAGTTACGTTACTCACTATCTAAAATCAGATTTAAAAATAAATAATACATATCGAATTATTTCTAAAGCAAATATTTATTTATTTACCGCAATAAGAAGAGTAACATCCACAATGAGACCTTTTGCAGAGAATACATTTTCGCGATGCAATATTTGCACGGAAAATAGCTGCAACTGCAAAACGTGAGATTACAGTACACTTAATTACAAGACTGTAAAACTATTATTGGTCTGATAGATTTTATACAAATATGAAAAAGTTACATTAATAAACGAAATGTCTTTAGACAAACATAAAAATTAAATTTTAATTTTTAAATTACCTCTTCTGTAACCTGTTTATCTGAGATATTGTTAAGCAAATCGTGAACGGTAATTCCAATCTTCATAGCTCTGTCTTTACCGGTTTCACAGGCCCATACTATCAATATTATTTTTATACAATGAGTACCGGTATGCACTATTGCTGATATATGAAAAAATAAATCAAACGTGCTGTCCTCAGACACGCTAATTCTCCATTCCGTTATATAGTAGTATAGATGGAAAGTAAGCTGAGAAAAAGTAATAATTATAGTAGCGAGAATGTGCAGACTGAAAACTGTGTTTAACATTTGCACTGTATCGCTAATTGCTAGATGCTGCTTCTTCAATGCCTTGAACTCCATTAACAGGAATGAATTTTTGTGCTCGTGATAGATCCTCCTCAAGAGATGCGGCTCATCGTTGATAACGAGTTCCCGCAAATTTACTAGGTTATCATCGATCCTTTTAAAACAAGCCTTCAATATACAAACACAATTCATATACAACATATCCATTTGAAATACCATCAGATTAATATACGGTACAGGCACTCTGTACCAGATAAAGTCCGATCTGATACAATAAACTACTTCTATTATGATTAGAAGGAAAAAACCCAAGATGTCCTTGGTATGAATTAGCTTAGATAATTTTTCATACGAATTGAGGTGCAGTTTTGAAGAAACATTCATTATGGTTTGGAGCAAGTGCATTCGAGAGCCACTTAAAATATATGCGACAACCGCGATAAAATTAGCGGATATATAAAAGCTACTGAGTTCAAGAGCCTTAGGTACATTTCCGACATAGATTGTTCCAGCGACGTTAGTCTCATATAGCACTACTAGCACGTAAATACTGAAAACACCAAGAATGAAGATTGGTAGAATGTAACGCTGTTTAGAAGTCTCGAAGGTTGAACCACTGATTTTGTACGGAAATATTCCGAGGATACTGCTGAAGGTGAAGCAGGGATACATCAGCGATTGAAAGTCCTTAGCACGGAACAGCTGCCATTTCTTCCACATTTTGTACTTGGTGCTTCTTTAAAATTTCAATGGCATTAATTATTACCGATGTATAACAATTTATAATAATCCAAATTACAGTGCCCAAACTAAGTTTCAATGGCATATTAATTATTACCGATGTATAACAATTTATAACAATCCAAATTACCACACTGCCCAAATATTTTTATACTTTAACATAAACATGAGTTTTACTGCGGTAAATATTTCTGAATGTATTCTTCCGTTTGTTTATAAATGTAAGTTTTTTGACAATCTGCACCCGGCGAACTTTAGTTAAAAACTGCAAGCGGTTGATGTATCGAGAGACAATATACTTAAGGAGTTGTTAGTCGTAAAGTAACCATGGTGCTCTTCGATCAGTAATTGTTATACCATTGTTGTGCAGAGTATAACACATATGCGTAATTGCCATTACTTATACATATATACAACTCACCACAATTGTATATGTATGTGTCAAATAGAGGATAATGACTACGGCATACATGATCAGTAATATTCTGAAAGTGTCTGTTTCTGAGATGTACAACTTAATTCTCGGCACGTACATTCAACTCTAATCTACACGAGTAGGTCATTTGGACTCAGATGAAAATTTCAATCAATCACTGTTTTTGTATCTATTAATATTGCAGAATCGAAGTGAAGGGGTAAAAAAGAATGAAAGATTGTTTATTTTTATGTAAATGAACTATATAGTTTTATTAAAAGGGCCTAGAATTAATTTATACTGCTATAATCAGAATGTTTCTGATTATGATCATTTATATGTAGCATAGTCAAGTGTTGTTACCACTGAAATATAATATCTACTGGAATGCGCGAACCTTCGCCGCCTTTGTTAGCAGTGATCCAAGAGAGACCATTTGAAGTGGTATCTTTGTCCTTTTCGAAGTTATACTGCGCATGTGCAGTAAACAGTAATGAGGCTTGTACAGTGTCAGAAAAAGTTAAAATTAATAACGTACGTAGCATGCCAAATGTCAAATGTATGTTAATCCTCAATTATTATTGTTTAATATTTAGATATGGTGAAATACTGTTGTATTAAAAATGACAATATTGTACTAAAAAAGGACATGGATACCACTTCAGATCCTCTTTGTCGGATCGCGAAACTAACGCCAACGCGCGTTCCAGTAGATATTATATTTCAGTGATTGTTACTCTGCAATTTGAAATATTGGATTTTTATTGAATATGTAAGGTGTAAGATTTATGTAAGGTTTGTATAAGGTTTAATATTTCTATACTGCAATTTTAAGATTGTGTGTGTGTGTGCGTATGCGCGTGGGCGCGTGCGTGCGTGTGTGTGTGCGCGCGCGCGCATACATTTGCGTGATATATAATTATAATGCTTAAAAATATTCAAACTTTTTAATTTTTGTGATTGTTTATTTTTATTATTATTTTAAACAGCATCATAGTATCTTGTTTATATGAAACAATGAAAAAAACAATTTATTTGTAAAAACGAAATAATGTACACTGAGAGAAATGATTTTGTTATAGGAACAAATCAAGGAAAAGCAAATGTGATGTATAAAAGTCGTAGATGGTTGCAGGGTCTCAAATCATAAGAAATTGACTAATTCTAGTCAAGTATTCTCCCTATATTTGACTATGCTTGATCGGTTTCCTACGACTTAAGACTCCACGATCATCTGCGAATTCTATGTAAACGAGCTAAAGTCTATGCAAAAGATAGGTTAGATTCTATATAATTTGTCTCTGTTACTAATAATTAGTTGGTATAGCAGACTAGCAGCAATCACAACAACATAATTTATTGTCACATTTACCGATCACCGGTCAAAGGTACTGGTGGCTTGCTAAATTAACAAAATTCTTTCTCTCAGTGTAGATATAACTGTTTGAATGGCGCTAACTCCATGTTAATTTAAAATGCGAAATATGCATTTAAATTTTTAAAACATTAGAATTAATTATACTTTAATAATATTTCTCATGATTCAACAATATCAAAATACCAAAAACAGATAATAAAATTTTGATATTAATTATTAACAAAAACAAATTAGTTATCTGTAATGACAACGAATAAAATTCTTGAAAATTACGTGTGTCACGTACAACGTCGCACATACAGTCTACAACATTGAAGTTTTATATATATTAGTATTCGACCAAAAATGTCGCTTCTTTTGTATTTAGGTAATGTTCTTACATAAACCGTCTTGTTTAGAATCTTATTTATTAAGATTTTACTTTAAATTGTTCGTCGCTACATTTCTACTAATCATTGTCTATGTGACATCGATGAAACATACGCTTAATTCCTTTTTATTTATATTTTTATATATTAAATCTTGAGTTATTGCAAAACGATGCATGCACTCAGAGAAACAAGTCATATGAGTAACTGTAAATTTGTAGTGAAATAGCGCCTCAATATACATATTATTAAATTCTAATAAAAATACTAGATTAAATGAACTAAGAAAATATAGTAACATTAACTATATAATCAATTACAAATAGTTAATGTTACTATATTTTCTTATAGTTCACTTAATTTATTTATTATTCTTATTAAAGCTTTATAATACATAGTTACAAGTTTGTATATGCATTTCTTATTTATTTTTGTCTTCCAAGTTCGAAACTAACGTTGCGCCTTTTATTGTAAGCTGATTTTCTTCTGGAGTAAAAGTGAACTTCGCTACGTCCCTCTGATTACAATGCCGCGTACTGTTCGTGCTGAGCGCCCCCCTTCAGAGAAAAGGGTTTTAATATATTTCTTAAAGAGTTACCTCAACAATGATTAATTAGTTACATGCTATAAAGTGCTTTATTGAAAAAAAGTTTTTGTCTAAACTAAAAAAAATGTAATTGTTATATCTATTTGTATGAAGTCCAAGTAACTACTCAATGTAGTTGAGTCGCTATTTCATTACCAATTAATAGTTCATACAATTTGTTATCATGACTATATTTTTATAACATTCAGCACTACTTCAGTTTCTATTACTTTGTAAAACTAGTCATAGTACTTCAATTGCAAAAGTTGCCAAATTTATAGTTGCCAGAACTATTTCATTTTCTCTTAGTGTGGATATTTTGAAAAAAAATCTGAAATGTTAATTAAATATTTTCTTATATATTAATTATATAGTAATTTCAAAATTGTATTAGTTTACTGATAATAAACATTAATATTTTTTTTAGTTAGAATATTTAATAAGCTCAAAATGATATCTTTCACAAATGTATTTATTACGCTTCAAAGTATAATTAAACAAAAAAAAATATA